AGAATAGCCGAAGGATTTTATCTCACAAGACAATATTGTACATACAGAAAAGAAAAGAAGGCAAACTGACTTGACGATGTCAGAAAATGGAAAGAAAAGAAGAAAAACACCGTGGGTTGTTATTCTATTCTGTTGATGATAAGTTGTGTTTTTCCTTGGATTGCCATTCTGTTCTTGCTCGGACTATCTCTGCCTTATCATCTTGCAAGCGAAGCAGATGTGTGTATTCCAAGTCTGCCTTGCGATTACTAGAATTGTTGTTTGAATCGCCAGTCACATTTGCTGTTGAACTCGTCAACGACTCTAGCAAATTGGATTGCCGGCATTCACGTCGATACTCCAGGGTCATGCTTGTAAGATTATAGTTTTCCAGGACATTCATTGGCACACTCTGCAAATAAAATCAAGTCCCTCATCTTATTAAACTTTCCTCTTAATTACAGTTTGAAGAATTTCCCATGCAATGAAACATACCTCCAAAATCCATCCGATGTATTTAACATTGTTTACATGCTGATTGGCATCGATGTCGCTCCATCTTGGCTGGATTAATAAGAGAGAAAAGGCAATTGGTAAAACAAGCTGGGAGATCATATTCTCAGTAAATGGTGCAAAAGCACACAGATTTCAAAAAGACTATCACATGAGAGAGGTGATAAAACCATGGTATATTTGAGCTCACTTCTAATCCTGATCGTATTCTTTCTGTGTTGTCATCAGTGAGCTTATCAATCTTTTGGATATCGTTCTTCTCTTCAGCAATTGCAATCCTGTTTAGGTAGTATGGAATCACTTCTTGTTTAACTTGTTCAGGGATCTTGGTTAATCTTCTCGTTTCGTGGTTCATAATCACCCATGTGCTGAAGGGGGGTAATAATAGTTAATAAGAGCAGTAATCAAATCATTTGTTGGCAGAGGGAAAAAATGGAGATCCTGTCGCACCTTGTTGCTCTTGTTATATTCTCCCGTGTGTTGTAGTCTCGGATTATCCAGTCCCTACGCATTGCATTCTTTCCTGCTGCATCAACCCAAGTATCAATCTCCACCACATCTCCCCTGCGATCAGGTTCAATCTTTCAGGATTGATTTGTATGCGAACAAATTAGTAATAGTTATTGGTACATTGATCGGGAGGGTAAGGAGAAGACGTATATACCAGCAGCTATATCTCTCCACTTGAACGTTGATGCGAGTAACAACCCATATGAGTTTCCTACGACTCATCTCACGGGTAGCCCCAAAGCCATTCCCAGCAAGACCAGAGCTCGTTACATGATTCAAAGCTGTTTCCTGCATTGCATACAGTTCCAACGAAAACGTCGAAGAAAACTTTCTAATATAACCATATATAAGTTCAATCCCATTCTAAAAATCTACAATGAAAACCAACCTGAAGGAGATTCATAAGGGTTTCCATGGTGGCAGTTTTGTCCGGTCCAATTTCATAAGACCGGATAATGAAGTTCTGCCTGTAAACATGCCTGTCCTCCACAAACTTTCCAACCAAACTCGCGTGGCCTTGTTTATCAGGAACATTTTCTTTTATCATCAACCTAGTGTTCTTCTTTCCTGTAACTAGAGACTCATCAACAGAAATCCCATTTATTTTCTTCCCATTGATCATGTCAAGATTATGAGGGTTTTTAGCACCTGCAACTAGCAAAAGGCATTTTCGTTTCGGTTTGATTAAATTCCATGAAGAATAAAAACCCAAGTTTGCCATGGCAACATTCTTCGTATTCTCTTCCTTGCATAAAAACCCTGGAAATAATGATGCTATAACATTGTTTGCTTTGGCCATTGATGCCATTTGCTCAGCCGGAAACAAAAAGTAAAAGAACCTAGCAATCTAGCTTGAGAAGCCTCGTTGAATAATAGAAAACAAAGGGTCTCAAATGTTAGTTCGTTCAACAACTCGTGGAATAGGCAAAGATGAATTAACAATGAAGAAACGGAAAATTCTTTCTTCAAACCGAGTGGGTATATAGATACGCGATTCCTGGAGGAGCAGATGCGTTTAGCAGCTCAACCACTTCCAATGGGTGGGGGAGAAATCAGAAGGCCTCAACCGTTAGCTTGCACGCAAATACAGGAGTATTTGTGTGGCATTGACGCATGGTTCAATTCAAGCTGACCATTGTTTTTAATTACTAATACAAAATTTGGATGTGCTAGGGATGATCCAATAAATAAAATAGTTCCATGTATAATTAGAAATTGGGGCACCTCAGGATTAATGCAGTGCTTCCTGTATCCTAAACTCTAGACAAAAATTTTTATCAGCATTCCAGACACGTTGACTTAAAACTTTTAGGATAGTTTGATTCGGGGAAAATAAGATTTTTGGTTCAAATCTTATTTTTCGTAATTTGATTTTTTAATTTAATTTATAAAATATGATTTTAGATTTTTTTTTAAGATTTTGAATAGTATAAAAAAAATGAAAGGAAGGAAATAAAAAATTCTCTTGAAAAATTTTTAGATTTAAGAAAGAAATGAAAATTTTATCTTATTTATCCTCACTTAATTACATTTTAAAATTATATTATCCTTTATAATTTTTTAAAATTACAAAATAAATGTGATTTTTGTTATTTATGATTTCAACAAGTAATGTGTTTTTAAGATAAAAATGAATTGAATGTTTTACAACTATATTTTAGAAATTCTAAAATTTTAATAAAGATTATTTTTTAAAATAAAAACATATTAGCTGTTGAAACTTTATTTTTAAAATTTTTAAATTTTAATAAATATCACGTTTTTAAGATAAATGTTGAAATTATATTTTCAAAATTCTGAAATTTAATCTTTGAAACTTTACTTTCAAAAATTTGAAATTTTAATAGAAACTTTGTTTTTAAAAACGAAAATTTAAAATTTTAACAAAAATCGCATTTTAAAGTAACAATGTAGTGGATGTTGAAACTATATCTTTGAAAATTTGAAATTTTAAGAAAATTGTGTTTTTAAGATAAAAGACATAGTGAATGTTATTACTGATAACCAAATTAAAATAAAACATAAAATATATTTACTTAATATTATTACATATAAATTTAAAATATATTTAATTAAGGTCAATTGGTGTATTTTTTTTGTGTATAGATAGTCAATATAAGTATAGTAATTAAGATTGTAAAATTATTTTTGTGAAATTGTGAAAAAATATTTTTCAAAATTTTTTAAATTTAATGAAAATAACATGTTATTTATGAGTAACGTGTTATTCATATGTTATCAAAAATAATGAAATAAAAAAAATATTAGGTAATCTTATATTCTTTTTAACTAAATAAAAAATCTTACATTCCTAAGATTAATAAAATTTAGGAATTACACAATTTTTTTTTAAATCATTTTTTTTCTTGGAATCTAAGAATTAATTAAAAATGCTCTTTTAAAGTGTGGTTGCTAAAGTGATAAAATAAACAGGTATATAAAAAAAATCAAATCAAAGTGTGCTTGATAAAAAGAAAAATGAAAAAAAAAGGAAAAGTAATTATTTTCGCCATTATATTCATAAAACAAATCATTTTAAATTAAAAAGATAAGTAGAGAGAAAAAGAGAAAAAGTGTGCTTCAAGCATGACATATTTATAATATTATTCATTAACCTTTTTCATTTTAATTGCAAATTCTATAATAATAAAATAATATAAATTTCATTTTTTTATTTTTATTTTTCAACTCTACTAAATAATAGAAAAAATATATAATATTTTTCAAAATTTTCATTTTTCTTACCAAACACACCAATAAAAAAATGTTTTCTATCTTTTTGACTCTTCACCTCTTTCAATTTTCTATTATTTTCCTCTTTTTTTTAATCTTTTCTACCAAGTCAAGTCACAATGTCATGAAAAAAAAAAAAAAAACTCATGAACATTTTGATGACGGTTGACTACGAGAAACAATTACGAGACTCTGGCATAAATTGGTGAATATGATTATGGGATGACATGACAGATAGCCGGGAAGAATTTGGAAGAGTGCAACAAATGCCTGAATTTCTTCATGAAATTCTTTAAGTTATTCCAAACAGATAAAACAATTTAAACATCATTCCATGAATATTTTTGCCGCAAGATTTACAAAATGTTGAAATTCAACTTTTAATACTATTGTTTTGTGTATGATAATACAAATTGCATTAAACTCCGTTTAAATTGGTAGCTTTGGGTGCCTATGGATTGTCTATTCTTTGACAAAAACAGATTGAGAACCAATTAAAATGTAAGCACCTATCAAACAAGTGGCCCAATATATATCCATGGGTAAAGGTGATGTTCCACTTTCAATAAATGCTCGAGCTCAAAAGGTCAAGACAATAATTTATAGCCCATAAATGTCTTTGAATTCGTTCATCACTCTTTTGGATTCGAAGTTCAACAGCATCTCTTGAATGGTCAGTGTCAATATAGTAACACCGGCCTATTTAATCAAGACCGAGCCCGGAAACCAACCTAGTTTGTAGTTACAGGCCTCCTAGTTTCCTTCCCCATTTGGAAATCCAGAATTTCACAAATCTCGAATTCTCAGTCCGAAAGAAACGACCGAAGAAGCAATCAAGCAACGCGAAAAGAAAAGGTAATGATACAAAACCTGGTGTCTTACACTTGGATCCATGTGGATAAGAGCGTATGTCACCACCTTTCAACATCAAACATATGATCATGTGGCTTGTATATTCGGAAAAGAACAAACCCCATAGATTTCCATCACTTCAGCTTCGACTTAATCTCCAACAGTTAACAAACTGCAAATAAACAGTAGAAACATAAAAAAAAAATTTTGTTGGTCGGGCAACAAATGCAAAATGAAGTTAATGAAAAATGGGTTTGTGGGATCACTATGATCTGAACGGTGCTAAATCTATATCCACACGTCAAAGGCAGAATCTGATACTGGCTCTCATCTTGCCACCGGGTACCATATCCCTATCTATATCTATATATATATATATATATATTGTGACTTGTGACTTCACATCAGGCCTCTTTCTTACCTAACTTTGTCTTGATATCAACGAACCACAAACCGTTTTCCCATTTAACTCTTTCCTCCACTCTTCAGTTTGTTCTATCCACCAGTTTTCTTGTCTATCTGTTACTCTCTCTTTAAACTTCAAACAATTCCCTATAGGCAGAATCAAGAATGGGTCGTTTCTGGACGTTGCTCTCAAACCTTCATTCATTAGCCGGGTATCTTCTGTCTGTTACTACTAATACAAATATATTCTTCTTGATTTTGTATTGCCTGATTTTTTTTATCTTTTTCTGGATTTGTAATGCTTGCAGGCCTGTGGTGATGTTGCTGTATCCCTTGTAAGGAAATTTGAACAATACTTGTTGTGCGTTTAACATTTTATATGTTTCTTCAGTTAATTCATCGTTTTTCTGTATCAGATATGCCTCGGTGATAGCTATAGAGAGTCCAGAAAAGGATGACGATGAGCAGTGGCTGGCTTATTGGATTTTATATTCATTGCTAACTCTATCAGAGATGGTGCTCCAATCAGTCTTGGAGTGGTAAAAATTTCTCTACAGAGTCAATTGAATTAAAGGAAGGTACCATACTTCAAATTTATGTATTTGGGTTCTAAAATTCTAATTGAATTGTAGGATACCGATTTGGTACTCTGTGAAGCTGCTTTTTGTGGCATGGCTGGTTCTACCCCAGTTCAGGGGTGCAGCTTTCATATATGAAAGATTTGTGAGAGAGCAAATCAAGAAATATGGGGTTTTGACAGATCATCACGGTCATCATAGCGGTTCTTCAAATGGGAAGCGCAAGAAGAAATTTGTGCAGTTCATCGTCCCCAAGAAGGTAGGTTAAAGGAATAGTATAGCTACATAAGAGTACGAGAGGGAACAATATACTTTAGATTTTGGCAATATTTTTCTGATGGGTCGTCGTTGATGTGAATGCATGGCAGGGGGATCAAGAGGCTTACTGAGGAAAACGGTAGTGCCTTGGTTGGTGGATCTTCTGTTACTTCCTTTCTACTTCAGCTCTGATTGGTGGTTTCTTGGGTGGTTGTAAATGCTTACGCCTTGTACAAGTTTATGGCTTTGATCTTTGAAGGTTTTTCAGACCTTTGACATGTGATGAATAGGAATGAGATTATGAATGCTTGGATTATATGTGGATTAATCCTAATAATTGACCACCTAAATTTCACTTCAAGTCTCGAAACAATAACAGCTGTTGTTGCCAACCGAATATTTATTCAGATGCATATTAGACGGCATGCAGGAGGATTAAATTTTAAATTTTTTAAAAAATTAGGATTTAAGAAAACTTATCAGATCTGAGGCATTTTGCTAAATACATGTGTTACTGTAATCCAAATTGTGATCTTCGTTGCAACAGCTGATTGCCAAACAATAAGGCTTAAGCTTTAGAATTCAGAATATTAAGAAGGAACCTAAGCCCTGCGTGAGATGAGACATTTTGCAATATGGGTCTCTATTACTTCCTGGGCCTTAAACAGTGAAAAGCTGGGAAATAAGCCCTGAGCTAAAGGAAGGTTAAACTTACAAGTTATAGGTATTGTTGGGCCCCGTAAATTCATGGTTCCCATTGGGAATTCGATTTACAAGGTTCAGCCTGTCACACGCCACCCCTAACTTCCTTTGGTCCAATGAATTTGCTTGTGAGTTCATCATCTTCATAATTTGAGTTTTTGCATCACATTTGGATCATATAGAAATGCTGCTTCAGTAAGGAAGAATCAAAGTGACAATCAAAGTGTCATGAAGTTTTCTAAGCGTGGTGAAAACAAGAACTTCGAGACCAAAATCGACATGAACAAACCAACAGGAAAGATCGTCATATCAAGTTGCATATCTATACACGCTCTGTCAGAAAATTAAGTTGAAGATCTACATCTGGTAAGCCATTTTCCCAAATCCCACGTGCTTAAACGTGAACTAGATCTACTGCCTTCATATCAACAACAATGGCTTTCAGCCTGTAAATTCCCACATTTGGCCATTTCTTTCATATAGAACCGTTAGCCTATCTCTTTCTTTTTTAGTTTCTACTCATAAATTAACTACTAATCAAGTATTGTATAAATCCTTGTACTTAACTGTACATAATCGTACAGGCATGCATTCGTGCACCTCTTGGCATGCATGAATCGATCGACGTCCATGATGTGTTTCAATGTCTTCAAAAGCAAACACTTGGCCGACTTTGAAGGGTTTTCCCATAAAAATCGGCAACAGCATGCACTTAAAAGCATTCCTAAACTTTCAGAAAAAATTAGTATTTCCTTTTGGCTCATTATCTTGAAGTTTCATCTATTCCCCACACTACCACTACAAGAAATCTTAATTGGTTTGGTTTGTTATTGTATTATATTATTAAACATAAAGCCACTTTCACCTGTCAATGCACCTCGTTCCAACTAATTAATAAATAATTAGTAGAAATCTGTGTTGAACAATGAGTCATGTCTCCCTTTTTTAGGCCAAATTGAAGTAATCAAAATACTGGTGCCAAGGAAACCATGTAGATCATCAGTTTGTTTCTAACCAACAGTGGCTTGATCTCATATGCAAGAAATTTATTATCATCAACTCATGGGATGCTTTCTCTTTCTCTTGGTAGTCTTGTACTTACAGGTTTGAGGCATCTGGATCCTTCGCCAGAAGGAGTCAGAACTCTTTTTCTCAATCTTATGAGGCAGCTTTGGCAAATGGTCTTGAGACAGTAAAGGAAAGGATTGTGAAAACGGCAGAAGACTAGCTCGAAAGTCAACATCAATAATGCTTTGATTAGCCTGTCAAAATCGACACCAAAAGGAAACTCCCCCACATAAATCTAGCAGGCCTTGCCACTTTACAATACCTAATAAAGTTGCTCTATAACTGAAAAGAGTGGTAAGCTTGGACACTTGGTCCAAGTAGCTTGTTTACTTACTCTTCTAATCGAATTATTGCTATAAAAAATTTCCAAGAATCAATTCAATTACTGTCCGGAATACCATGGGCATGCTCTTGATGTTGCCAAGCATGAATACAAAGCCGAACAGGTTAATTGAGATTTCCCATAGTTCTCACCTCCCTGAGCACAAGATTATAAATATATAGCAGGTTATTAAGCCGATGCCCTTGGAAGAAATGCATACGCCTTGTTATATGTAGTTACAATTTTAATCTTTCAACTCTGCTGAATTGCTTCGTATAGTTTCAAATCATTCATGAATCCATGGTATATCGTTTGATAAAAAAATAAACCGTTTCCCAAAGTTTAAAGAATCAATTAAAGTAGGATTTTTCACCTGTAAAGTGACATTAAAAAGAAGATCAAGGAATCAATTTTATAGTATTCTGAGAACTGTTATTAGCAAATTAAGCACCAGTTTTTCCGTGTAGCAAATCTTATCCATTTTTCAGATTCAGCTGATCCAGAATGGCAGAGCAAGAATTTAGTAATTCTATATCAGATTGCAAGCCATTTCTCTTCTTTATAGAATATCCAAACACGCCCCCATCTTTTAGTATGTATGCCCCACTTCCCACGTCCTACACCAGCTTCGCTTCACAGTTCTAGTGGACAAAGTACCATCTACTAATAGAATTATTGAAGGAAAAGCTAAAGAACTTCTAGTGAGCCTGCCAGAATGAAAAAGAAAGCATGAATGCTTTTTAAGTGGGGTTCTTCTTTAATGTGGCACTGCATATATGCCTTAAGAAGTTTAAATGAAATAAGAAACTATAGCAAATGTGCCTTTTAATCATATTCAGGTGACATGGTAGAATCAATTAAGCGAATGCCAGATTTCCTTCTATTCTAAGAATTTAAGAGTGTGAACGATTCAAAATCATCAATTGGTAGGGGAAAAGTAGAGCTACCCTAGCAAAAAAAGTTGCCAATGAACATTAATAAATCTCCCATGGCTTTTCAAAAAGCAATCTTCCCATTATAAAAAGGAAAAAGAAAGCAACATGTGGAAATCTTACCGAAGTTTACCACCTTTTCCCCAACTATATAAGCCTGTGATTGTAATGCTTTAGGGTCAGTCAGATGGAAATCTACCTCAAGTTCTTTTAAACTTTCCTCTGGACCTGGTTCTCTAACCAGATGATGAAGTGAGCTCTTTTTATTGTAATGCTAAATTGTTAATACTCCCTTTAAACTCCCATTAACCCTTCTCGTACAAATAGAAAATGGATCCAATCCTGATGGAAAAGTTCGAAGCTATCAAGAAATCCAAGAAGTCCAAGAAACAGCAGCTTCTGGACAAAATTTTCCTGTGTACATTCATAGCATTTACTTGTAGTATGTTCTGTTCCAGCCCTTTTTGGCTTCCCTACTTGTTTTCCTCAATGAAGGATTTTCTCTTCAACTCTCTCCCCAAAATGGGTTCAATCTTATACAGCCCCAAACTTTTGTTCCTTATAGGCAACCTTATTGTTGTTATTCTCATTGGCGAATCCAAATTTTTTGCTTCAGGTTCTTCCCTTTCTGGGGATATGTACTATGATGAGTACGTTTATCAAAGTCGAAGCCTTCGAAATTCTTCGACCCTGGAAGTGAAGAAAGAGAAGAAAACCAAACCTTTTGAAGAAAACGTGAAGAGGAGTTGCCAGGTATCGGTAACAGGAAGACTGGTTGAGGAAATTATACACGTAAAGAAGGAAAAAAATGATTTAGAGGGAGAACATGAGCATGTTTTGCCTACTGATCAGGAATTGAAGAAAAGAGCTGATGATTTCATTGCAAGGGTCAATAGGCAAAGGAGGCTTGAAGCTAGATTACTGCTTAATCAGTAGCAGTGAATGAGGGAAAGGGAATTATTATGCAAATTTTTATATGGTATACCTGGAACCATTACAAGCTATATTAGCTATCCTGTTTAGTATTTAAGTAACTTATAAGAACTTCCAAGATCTAGTTTCTTTCTGTAACTTACTGGACTGCAGCTGGTTGTTGTTTCCTGATCTCTTGTACCACAGAGAGCTTTGTTACCAGTATAGTTTTTCATTCACATGAACTCGATCCAAACATTATTACGGTTTTGAAAAGAGATTGGTCTCTGATCATTTGTACTTTAATAAACTATATATGGGATTGAGACCTTAAAATTCAAGTACTATTAAAATTGAATATGAAAGTGATTAAAAAATTATTGGAAAGGAAGCCATGAAATTTCCATGGGAATGAAAACACTTAGGGCCACAAAATCACCAAAGCTGGCTGGACAAGTTAAAAAGTTGCACCGTCCATATCTTTTGTTTGAATAGAATTGCTTTCTTTTTTATGGAAAGAATTATTACTGAAGTGTTTAATTGCAGGCTGCAAGTAATTGCACCTATTAATTAAGGTATTAGATATGGTGGATAAGGTAGCCTTTTGGCTCCAGGGATTAGCACTGTTACACCAGAGTTTATAAAAAGACAATAATGGAGTATTATATATATTTTTTTAGTATTTGAGCCTCTCAATAATTGATTTTTCATCACTCCAATTAAAAATTTAACGCTATGTCAACAGTCTAAATTGTTGACACGTGTGTATTATATTACTCAATAAATGTAATAACTTAGTATTATTTATTTAATAAATATAAATTCTAACCTTGATCAAGCTAGCGCAGACAGTCTCTTGCATATTGCACACAGGAGACAGCCCAACTGCCCAACTCAAGGCCAGCCCTAACTGGCCATGTTGAGGCCCAACACAAAATTATCAAGGCAGATGGATAATAATATATCACTGTTGGGCTAAAAGCCTCCAATCCAATCACACCAGCGAAACGAAATCAAACAATAAATCAAACACACAAGAGACAATAATTTAACATGGTTCGGTCCAATTGACCTACATCCACGGATGAGAAATAAGATCCACTAGTTGTAGAGAATTACAAACATACATCATATCATCAACCCCACTCAACAATCAATACTCATAAGACACTCTCAATTTCCTCTAGTCCTATGAAGTATTATTTACCCAAACAAACACAAACCCAAACCTTTGTGCACTCTTTCAACATAACTAAACACATACCCATATGCTCCCATACATTATACCTATGTGGACTCTCTCAGTCTCCTCTAGTCTACTCATAAACAAACATACAAACCCATAAGACGTAAACATACAAACCCATAAGACGTAGAGCCCCAATACTCCTATGGGGTGTCTATCTCACAAAACCCTACAACTTTCTTACATATTTTTCTCATACCTAACCGTGTATAGACTTCACCTATTTATAACCAAACAAACTTGCCCATTAAGAATCCCTCTCTTCTTAGAATTCTTCTCCTGTAAGTTAAACTTACCCATTAAGAATCTCTTTCCTTTTAGAATTCTTCTATTGCAAGTCAAACTTACCTATTAAGAATCTTCTTTCTCTTGGAATTCTTCTTTTGTAAGTATTCTTGTCCATCAAGCAATATCTGACAAATCCCAAATAAATCTCTAACAAATCCCAAACAAATCTCTTATGGGATTTGAGTCATTATTCCCAACAATCACATCTGTATTCGGTTTACTTTGGCCTGCATACGTATAAAGCAGACTAGGATCTAGAATTTTTTGTCTGGTTAACTTGATCGAACTTGCAATCGGTGAAGATGGCATATATACACAGCAGATTATATATCTTTTCAATTTCTGGCAAGCTACTTAGTCATAAAGCAAAGTACCTTGGGAAACAGCCAGCAAGAGAGAGAGGAGACAGATCGACAAATGTAAATGCCATTTTGTGTTTGCCTAATGTACGTGTCAATTCCTTGCCATGTAACCTTGGATGGCTATTTGGCTATAACTACACCGTGTGATATAACATTGATTCTCCAACTCTCTATTCTCTGTAGGTGTAGCAAACCAGACCAACCAGACCAGACCAGACCATGGATCTTTTTCACAAGTTCCTGAACCTCGTAGCTCCTTCCTTCACCTTCTTCTCTTTATGCCTTCTCTTACCACCATTTTATCTCTTTAAATTCTTCCTTTCCATCCTCAGCTCCATTTTAAGTGAAAAACTTGATGGAAAAGTTGTCATCATAACGGGTGCTTCTTCAGGCATTGGGGAAGTAATTTACATCATGATTTCTCAATTTCACGAGACAAAACTTAAATTGCTGGAAGAAGAAAAGTTGATTATGTAATGAGAAAAGTTGTATTCTTTGTGATTTTGCAGCTTTTGGCGTACGAGTATGGTAGAAGAGGAGCCCGCTTAGCTCTCATAGCACGAAGAGAGAAATCACTGCAAGAAGTTGCTGATAGAGCACGTGATTTGGGCTCTCCAGAGGTTATGTTTCAAAACTTGATGACTGAAAGCGACGTGTTGAGGAAACTTTGAATCATTTTGGCAGACGTAAGTGCAAAACTTCAATACATAAAACCATCTTCTTTTCGTTTAACAATTGTTCACAAAATTGTCAACATTTTAATAAGTCATGGCATGATGGATACAGTGGACCATCTGGTAAATAATGCTGGAATCAATTCATTCTGCATGTTTGAAGATGCACCTCCAGACATGACTAATTTCAGAGCTGTAATGGTAAATGATTATCTAGCTTTAACTTAATTACCACATCTCAATATATATATATATATATTATGTATATATGCAGCCATTAAGATTCTAATTTCATGGATTAATTTTATGCAACAGTGGATCGCTTGGTGAGCAATGCTTCTATTATTAAACTTAGCATGTCTGAAGATGTAACCCACAATTCTGAATTTGCTCCTATTATGGTTAGTTTCTTTCCCAGCTCTAGTTTTAAACACAATGGCCATTCTTTCTCTGGGAATTGTATGGATTTTAGTATCGCGCGGCCTCACTCAAACCTCAAATTTTTTAGTGGTCATTCTTTCTTTGCGAATTACGTCAACATCATGTCATTTATTCTTCATCGTAAAGATAAAGAATAACTTTCCTCAAAATTTCCTTTTGCTTTAACTTTCCTCCCCTTACCTGGTTATCCAGTTAAACTTGAGTTTCATAATTGAAACCAAAGCCAACAGTTCATATCTATTAGTATTTCATAATTAATATTAATGAGTAATTCTTCATTTAGATTACCTTCTTTTTTTTTCTTTTTTGTAAATGTAATATTGTTGTAAGTCTCATATCCTCGGTTGCATATATAAATATATATATATATATATATTAACTTTTGCACCATTTGTAACTCAAATTATATTTTTCCCTTAGAACAATGCTACAATTCATTCAATGTTTTATACGAAAATTACTTATAATAATTTATATCGATATAAAAAATATAATATATATATTTTTTATTTTATTAAATTTATTTATGATTTTTATTAAAATTTTAAACAGTATCATTTTTTTAATCTTTTATTTATATTATTTTTGTGTTATATCATAATATAGTACTTGAGATTACCATATTTTCGAATCTTTCCCTTTTTTGTCTTACCATTCTGTTTTACTCGATTGTTTCTTAATGATCTTTTGGAATGCGATTTGTTGGGTAGATACAATATGGTTTCATACCCGGTGAACAAGTGTGTGCAAAGGCAAATGTAGCAAGTGGTTGCCGTGGAGATAGGTATTTGACAGAGCCATCTTGGTATAGCCTGGGATTGTTGTTAAAGATGGTTTGCCCTGAGCTACAAGAGTGGTGTTGCCGTTTAAAATTGCCTGCCAAACCTCCATCTTCAAAGAACACATCTTAGTTGGCAAGAACAATACTCGAATTGAAGAACGTTTGTTCAAGATCAATTTTAGCCATTCTCTGGGTTTAATTATTGAAGGCCTGTCAGTTTTATCAAACTATGTATGGCTTATGGAATTTTAATTCGAGAACTCAGGTGTTAAATTTGGTACTTTGTAATTAGAAATCTCTCTCTATATATAATATATATGTTTGACAGAATTTGATTCCAGGGAAAAGCACTGGCCTTTTGTTTTGCTTCCTCCTCTATTTCTTTAGTGTTTTCTTTTTAGTTTGCATCTGCTGGAGTTTTCTACTTATACAAATGCATTTGGTATCCATTACCGTAGCTAGAGAGAGGATTAACGATGATGTATAGTTGCACGTGATTTGAAAACACTAGTGAATCCTCAATCACGTCATTTGGCATAAATTTTTAATTTTTACTGGGACAATGAACGAGTGCCAAAATTGTGATGTTTTTTCTAATCACTCATCCTTTAATTAATCTTTAATGACATGATAATATTACATCAATTATTAAATATTACGTGATATTATCATATCATTTATCACTTTAATTGTTAGTAATTCATATTATTACTTAAATGATATAATAATATCATTTGACAGTTGACATGATATTATCATATCAATATATTATTATTTTATAATAAAAATTAAATAATAAAAAAAATTATTTAAAATTAAGTTATTAAATTAAAAAAATTACCCAAAAAATTTACTCAAAATTAAATGGCTAAATTTAAATTTTTAATATTTAAATGAGCATTTTTAAAATATTCATATAACTGGTTACTAATGATATATTTTAACCAAAAAAATTTAACAAAAAAAAGTGGCTAATAGATAACCACATCAATGCCGTGTTAACACCACATAAACTGGCATATCCAGTTTCTTTTTTTTTTTCTTTTAAATAACTTTTTATGCACCAAATTCGGAAGAGATCGATGAACCGTTTCTCACCAAAATCGTGCATTAGATATTAAGGTTAACAAGGAAGATTTGGATCAAAAAATTATTAATTATCTTGTGGTCGTAAGAGATACCACCATTTCCGAACTCTTCTTGGGGTCGTAGGCGCTATGGAAATCAACAAGTTATTGAACATTGTCTTTCCCCCTCTATTTGTAATTGCACTTCTTTTCATCTTACCACCATTCCTTGTTTTGAAGCTTCTTTTTTCCACTCAAAGGTTTGTGTTCAAAGAAAACGTTGCAGGTAAAGTAGTACTCATCACGGGGTCATCTTCGGGCATTGGTGAGGTTTGTACCCTGAAGACTACCATCTTCTCCACTCAATGTTCATATATAGATTAACATGTATCTAAGGAGTTATAGTGTCATACAATCAACCCTTATTCACGATTTTTGCAGCATCTTGCTTATGAGTATGCTAGAAGGGGAGCTCGTCTATCCCTCGTAGCCAGAAGAACAGATCGTCTTCAAAAAGTAGCTGATAAAGCCAGACAGTTGGGGTCCCCTGATGTAATTGTGATCACTGCAGATGTATCCAAGATCGAGGATTGTAAGCGATTTGTTGACATGACAGTGAACCACTTCGGGCAGTGTAAACCACATCTCTGCTTAATTAGTTTTATGTTCATAGCTTTTGATTGAAATTCAGGCCTGACTTTTTTAACTGATTGGTTCCATATTACGTAATTTAACAGTGGATCATCTGGTGAACAATGCTGGGGTTGCTCACGGGACATTTTTTAAAGAAACCCGCAATATATCTGATTTGGTCCCTATTATGGTATCCCCTTGTAACTTGTCTTCAGGAGTAATTTGGAGAAGAGACTGCATTTAGCTTTGAATCCTTTGATCACATGAATATGTTTAATTAGCAAAATTCATCAATATGATGAGACTCGGAAAATTTGTATTATCCACTGTATTTTCACCTGGCTAATTGTTTAAGCGATCATCATGATTTATGAATTAGCAAAATTTAGTACATTTCCAGCTGGCCATAATGGACCAGATTGAATTCAGGCCAACACCTTTCCAGTTGAAAATTTGTTTCATTGCAGGACATAAATTTTTGGGGTTCAGTATATGGTACCCATTTTGCAGTTCCATACCTAAGAAAAAGCAAAGGGAAGATTATTGTGATATCTTCAGCTGCTGGATGGCTCTACCCTCCAGGAGCTACAATCTACAGTGTAAAGAAGTTGCTTCTGTTTTGTACTCTACATGTTGAATCAGGTTACAAATTTTTATTTGCTTAACTGATCACTTCGTAAATATTGCAATGGCTTCAGGCAAGCAAGGCAGCTCAAATAGGTTTATACGAGTCATTGAGGATTGAATGTCCAGAAATTGGCATAACCATTGTTACTCCTGGTTTTGTTGAGTCAGAAATGACCCAACGGTTTCGTCCAGCTAAGGTAAGGCCTGAAGGAAGTAATTCGAGAATCGAGATATGTTCGAGATAACAGGAACACAGTCCCACGAACAATTATATATCTGATGGGTTTTCGAATCTGTTAAAGTGCATGAATGATCTAATACTTTTTGTATGGAAATTAAGACCTAGCTCTAAATATTTTCTCACAAGCTAGCATCTTTCTCATTACTTTGAACTTGATTCTCCAGTACCTAAAAAACGAGCCAACGGATGACTGTGCCAAGGCAATTGTTGAAAGCACTTGCCGTGGAGATATGTACCTGACAGAGCCATTCTGGATGAGGCCATTGTTTCTGGTAAAGGTACTTTGTCCTGAGCTATGGGACTGGACTTGCTACTGGCTGATCGTCCATAGACGAAGGGCTTTGGATAAAAACGCATAGCCGGGGTATCTTAAATTCGGAAGGAAATCCCTGTCTCAGCAGTCTGCCTTCGGAGATTGAATATGGCTAGCTAGTTTCATCAAAACAACATTTTCTATTTAAACTTTCGGATTAAAGGCTTTTCCTTTCTTTTCTCCTTTCTATCCTCCCTGCCAAACAAGCTCCTGCAATGATGCGGGGTGGAGCTTTACCTCAATAATAGACAAGGGAATACTTTTGTTCCACTGGACAACAAAGAATTACTTTGAATTTTTGAATGTTCAGTTAGTTTTTGTAGTCAATAAACAAAACTGTTGGGTTTTTTAAGGAAACTAATGCATATATACATAAATGGTTTTCCGAGTTTATATATGTAGCTACCCATATTAGAGGAGCCTGAAGATTAAGAAGAGTTCAATGTATATGGTTTTGGGGAAAAAATTGTGCTAAAATGGATTTTTTTTTTTTTTACAAAGCACGAGAGAAGAAACGTAGTCATTTGATCTGCTATGGAACTAAGAATAAGGATTTTATTCACAAGGTCAGGAACATTGTACTTCCTCCCACAACATTCCTCTTACTTCTTTTATTCTTACCACCGTTCCTTGTTTTCAAGTTTCTCAATTGCCTGAAATGAACCATAATAAACAGTGAAAACCTGCCTGGGAAAGTAGTACTTATCACGGGAGCATCATCACGAATTGCACAGGTTTGTCTCGTTTTCACAGGATTATGTTCCTGAAAACATTTATTTAGCATCTGTCACGTATGAATTCCTGAGAGATTTTGTTTTGGGCAACGAAGCATCTTGTTCCTATTTTGCAATTCCACTACACGTAAGAAAAACCAAAGGGAAGATAGTCGTTAGAGCTTAAACTGCAGGCTGGTTTCCTAGTCCAAAATTGACCTTTTACACTGTGAGTTATGAGTTATGACCACTTTTCACTGTTTTATATCCTCTGCTTCATGGATTTGATGCTATCTTGTCATTGTCTCAGGCAAGCAAGGCGACACGAACAAGCTTGTTTGAGACATTAAGGGCTGAACCTGGATCAGATATTGGAATAACAATTGTGTACCCTGGGGTCATCAATTTGGAGATGAATCAAAACCTGTCAAAGGTAGAGCTTGATCAACTGCTTGAATGACAGAAACAAAGTTGTTAGGAAATGAAACATTCAGCTAGCGAGCTTACACATTCATGAAAATAAGATATTTGGAGTCTTGAATGTTACTGCCCCTTTGCTTTCGAACTTCCATATTAACCCTCTGGAGTATACTCATTGAAATAATCATAAATTCTAATTACTCTATTCTAGGACAAGGTTTGGTGAGCTTCCTTGAAGACAAGTGACTGTATCATCTGAGGAATTAGTTCGACGGCAGTACTGACTCCTGTATCTGCACCTAATTAACCTGCTTTTATTATTTTTTTTAAAGAGAATTTCACAATATTTTCAGGTTCAAATGAGCTCTGTCCTGGCTGAGTCCACATTGAAAAATTCGCCAAGGCAATTGTAAACAGTGCTTGCCACAGAGACAAGCATCTGTTCAAGCTATTGTTTCCTGTAGTCTTGGAATGGTGCTTCAATCGGCACTTTTGTCAGTAAAGTAGACAAAAGTCATTGTGATGCCATTTCCAACAATAAACATATCCAAATTTTCTTTGCAGCCAATTGAACTCAGAGATCGTGGCAGATTAAGTACAATTGAATTTAGTAGGCTTTAGAGTGTCCAAATTAAAGGAAATCCGTATTGTTTTTAAATTGATCCGTGGCAAGGGTTTTCAAAAATTAACCGAATCTGTTTCAGTCTGATCCGATATGTACCCATCACTGCATCTACAAGCAATTTATACCGCACAAATGGATTCAAAAGGTTTCAATTAAGGTTTCAGTTATGAATTCATTGTTATTGTAACCCAACACCCGGCCCGACGGTAGCTACCAATTAAAGACTAACCAAAACTGAAAAAGGAAAATTTTTTTTACCAACTTAAAAAGAAGGATATGCAATTCTAACATGGTGATTTCATGTTATTATTTAGGTTAAGATTTTGCTTTTAAGGGTAAAAACTCAAAATGTAAAAGAAAGCCAGCTCTCTTCCTGCCCTCTTTAAAAACAGAGTTACTAACAAAAAAAATACATCGTCAACAACAACATATCTGTGTCTTTTGAGTTTCTTGGGTGCATAAAAAATGGCAGCTGATATGGATCTGATTCACAATATAATGAGTGTGGTATTGCCTTCATTTATGATCATTATGCTCCTCTTCATTTATCCACTTTATCTTGTTTACAAGTTCCTTTACTTCATAAAAAGCCTCTCAAGCAGTGAAAACGTTGCTGGAAAAGTAGTAATCATCTTCGGACCAGCTTCGGGAGTCGGGGAGGTTTTATAATTTACGCCAATCTTTAATGTCTTAACTGTGTCTTTCAAAGCAATCCTATAGTCAAATGGGTTATGGTTAATGGTCTACTAACCTTTTTTTTTTCTTTTCGTTCTTGAAGCAAATCTCTTACGAATAAGCAAGAAGAAGAGCTCGTTTGTTCCTAGTTGACATAAGGGAGGACAATCTGGGCAGAGTTCTCGAAAACGTACGGAGTCTTGGCTCTCCAGACGCTATTACCTTCCATACGGATTTTTCCAGGGAAGAAGACTGTAAGAGATTTGTTGATGAAGCAGTAAAGCATTTTGGTTGATGTGAGTTCTTTGTACTTTTCACTTTCACAAAAAAACTTTGAAATTGGCTTCCATCTGGTTCACTTTGGATCATTCTATTGATGTCTGAAGTTGAAATACGGATCACAGTGGATCATTTGGTGAATAATGCGGGGATTGCAAGAATAAATTTGTTTGAAGAAATTAAAAGCGTCTCCGATTTCTCTCATCTTATGGTAATATATAATTATATATAAAAACATACACTCTATATTGTATCAAAAACTAACGAAAATTCTGAGCTGGGTGTAAATTTTTTTATACAGGACGTAAATTTCTGGGGAGTCGCATAGAGCACCCATTTTGCCATTCCACACTTAAGAAAAGGCAAAGGAAGGATCATAGTCAAGGCTTCCTCAGCTTGATGGTATCCTTTACCATTATCAGTTTCCATAACGTAAATGCTCTGCTCAGTTGTCAGTTGTTATCAGTAAACTGACTGGTAAATTACTATAGTATTCTTAATGCAATTCAGGCAAGCAAGGTGGCATTGATAACCTTTCATGAGACATTGAGAAGTGAGATTGGTTCGGATATTGGCATAACAATTGTCACCCCTGGACTGGTCAAGTCGGAACTGTCACAAAGTGAAGATGCAAAGGTACATTGCCTAAATCATTGATTTGATTTATTAGCTACTTTAAGAATGCCAATGACTGGGATGAACTGATCATAACTCCATTTCAAATATTGGTGGTTTAGGCTGTCGTGGGTTGCATTCCGATGCTGTCCCCTAAAAGATGTGGCAAGGCAATCATGAAGAGTACATGTCAAGGTAACAAGTACTTGACGGAGCCATCCTGGTTCAAAGCTCCCCATATCGTTTGAAAGTGCTGTGCCCTGAGCTTCTTGAATATTGCAACCGCGCGTTATTTGTTACTACTGCCTTATGACTTCGAACACGACTGCAGTAAGCAACAGCGGACTGAAACAAAAAGGTTTAACTTCTCCAGACCCAAAATCAGACTGATTAATGGAAGCTTCTGTAGTGAGCCAATTGGTTAATGGTGACCCTGTAACTTATAGTCCTTGCTGTTGATTTAGAAGTAATAGGCTTGCGCTACTAGTTGTAACATTACTTACCATCAGGTGAACAAAACCAAAATAAAAAAGCTGAAAAGGAACTATTGTCTATGTCTAATTCCTACTCAATAAGTTAAGGTAATAAATTGAAGTGCAATTAGGTTTTTTCTTCTATTTTGATGAGTGAAGATGAATTCATATTGAACTACTTACATAAATGCAAGAAAGATTGTTATTCATTCAATTTAAAAATGCAAGAAAGATGGTATAGAATCCCCACTTCAGTGAAACGTTTGCACAGAATTTACCATTTCATGACTGGAAAATGAAAATATACTTTAATTTCTACCAAAACATTGAAGCAATAAATCTTTATCATGCTGTTGTTTATTTGGTGTATATGCAACTAATGTTAGAAATGCTGTTGTTTAATTTCCCTAATTCAAATTAACAACAATAAAGGAAAGATAAGTAATTGCATTGGTATCTGAAAGGAGGTTCCAATAATAATAATAGTAACTAGAAGCATCTTTCAAAATCCTAAATTTTTATGTTAATCGCATCTGTTCTGCTTCTTTACATTGATATACCACACATTAACTTAAGTTGCCAGTTTTTGATTGTACAGAACTGAGTTCTCGCAATTTAGATATACCTACACTAAATGTCCGTTGTAAGATATTAATCCGCTCTCCTAGGATATACTCTTTGAGTTCCTCAATTGCAGCATATTCCTTCTCCATTAGCAGCTCTGCATCTTCACAATGCTTGATTTTGGACTGCAATTTCTTCAACTGTATTCAAGGAGAGGACAAATATTAGGCAACTGATAAAGCGAATAGCTCATAATAAACACTTAGTAAACAACACAGTGAAACAGATAACTTTAACCCACTTGCGTCTCGATTATGGTTGCAACTAAATGTTCAATTTCTCTCTCTTCCTGTTCAGCCAATAATTTGGCATGAGCAGCAGCTGCCCCAAGACCCGTTGCAACAGCTGCTCTAATTCGCAATGGAAGAGGCACATCATTCTTCTTTTGAGATGTCTCTTGAGATTCTGCAACTAAGTATATTTTCCAATAATGATGATTAGGAATGAAAGACTACAACTATAAATATGAAAAAGATCAAATCAAAAGCACACATCAAAACCATGGAAATATAAAACATCTGATTGCTACGTGTTCGTGTGATAAGTGGTAAACCAAAGCAAAAAACCAAGACGAAGAGATCCTAAAGAAAAAGCTTGCAAGAATTCAGCAGAAGCAAAACATCTACTTTTATTCCCATAATTAGGTTCCTCAGTCAACTGCCAAATCATTTTGCACAACTGTATTCAAATGCTTACCTGATGGACTAGATCTCGCCTTCATCTCCAACTCTTCATCATTATGAGCCCTAAAACATGTAAGAGAAAGAATACTTCAAAAACATCATAATGATGCAAAAATTGTAGTAAATTAAGAAGCATAAGGAAAGAAAAATAAGAACAATAATATTAACTTTTAAACAACCTTTCTGGCTGATAAATCAAAGTAGGAGACAGCAACCCATTAGTTACATCAATCTGATCACCATCAAATATTTCCCTTGGACATGACATTTCATCAGAAAGTACTGCAACCGCAGCCTCAGCTGCAGCAGCAGTGATTTGTGGCCCAACCATGGTTGAGATGAGAGCAACCTGTAGGAAACACAATCGATTATATGATAAATCAGACAAGTACATAAAAATTCATTTCATCGTAATTACAAAAATAGAACTATTTTAATCATAATAACCAAAATTTTGTAGGCATAACAAATAGTTGAAGAATGATTCAAAAATAGAAATGGTTAATTACTAAAGTCCTTGTCTTTATATATGCAACAAACTTAGAATAAATGAGAAAAGCATCAAATCGATTAAAAGAAGGCATCATGTGTTGGTAAGACAGCTTGGTGGAAATTTGTGAGCAATAAAATCCTGAAGAAAGAATCTTACCTGCTTCATGAGAGAACTATCAGCATCTGAAGTGGAAGTGGTGCATTTTTTCTTCAAAGGAGGCTCTTGATTCTCAGAATCCCCATTCTGTTCATTCTCATTTGTGCCATCATAACCTTGATCCTCGTTTATAATATTCTCTCGATGCTCAGATGAAGGAACAAGAACTGGTTTTGCACTATTTATGTTCATACTGGGTCCACTTGAATTGCCTCTTCCCTTGGCAGAATCTATCAAAGATTCCCCAAAAGGCAGCTCAATGAGCTTTGTAATACAATCAAGTTTAGACTTGGTTTTAACATTTTGAGCAACAAGATCCCAGTCATCCCCATGTTTTAAAACAGAATCCAAAAGAAGTAGAGTTTCTTCTTCAGTCCACACAGCTCCATATATAGCACTGTTCCCACCGCAATCTTTCAACTTGAAATCATCCACAGATTTATTCTCCCCAAAATTTCGACTTTTGAAGCATTTAACACAAACTATGAAGTTATCCTGCAGATGTCATACTTACAATTTACTAAAAAACACAGAGAAAAAAAAAAAAAAGGAAGGAAAAAGCCTTTTCAAAGAACCTAATTAATCTTACTAAGCAACATGACATGTTGTATTGCTTACAGATGTGAAACTCATCACTAATGATTCCCAAGTTTACAATACTATAAACTGCATATATCACTCAACCCTGCACCGCAATCAAGTCGACGACATGCCTTCAGTTTTCTGAAGCATGTAATTAACCATGACAAAAACCTAGAGATCAAAAATATCTTCATCCAGCCACAATGGCCCCCAACTAACATAGCTATGGCGTAAACACATGAATTTAGTAAGAAACCCAAACAATAAAAACTTGATAAAAGAGACAAAATTTAGAACAAGAAAAATGTAATTACACCTACAAAACCACTTACATGGAGAAACCTTATATCAAATTAAGCACAAAATCTCCATAACAAAGCAGTATTCTTTGGATAATACAGAGATAAAATAATTCCAAACTAAAATTAAATGTGAAAACAAACTTAACAAAATAAAAAAGAATTACCTTACTATGTTCATAATATTCAGAATTGCAATTATCTCCACAATTACCACAACGTAGCCTCTTCAAATCACCAAAAACATCTGAATATGAAGCCAGAGGAGGCAACTTGACCCCATTCTCCGCAACCCCATTATCACCGCTCTTCCCCTTAACAACCGGCGCCGAGAGCGGTCGCAACGAATTGGGAGTGGCCACGACCCGAACCCCATTCGGAGCCCCGTATTCGACCCGAACCCTATCATCGTTGTCGGGACCTTCGCGGGGTCGAGGCGGGGCCACGAAGTTGATCAAACCCCAGGTTTCCAAGAAGAGGAAGACCTTGTGGAGTAAGGTGACGTCGCCGATGAGGGATTTGCGGATTTCGGTGAATGTGAGGCGGCGCGTAGGGTCTTCCCTGTATTTGTTGATGATGAAATCCCTGTACTCTTTGTAGATTTTGGGGGTTCTTGAGATTGAGCTTCCTTCGAAGAATTCCTTCAATGCTTGCCTCTCTGTTTCGTGAATATCGTTCCAAGCAAACCAACCTACGAAGAACAAAAAAAAAGAAGAAACTAACGAAAAGAAAAGGGATTTTTTTTTCTTTTCTTTTTTGGGTTTGGGGAGGAACTTACTGGAGTAGCTTGGTATGGTGTAGAGGTCGAGCTCTGGTTCATCGGGTCGAACAGATTCCGGGTTCGGGTCATGGCGAATGCTGCTGTCCATTCCTGGTTCCTTGGTTATTTTTTTTGGATGTTGTCGTTTTTCTGGGTCCGGTTCCAGACTCCGGAGTTGTCCTGTTTGTTTTTTAACTGAGATTTTTAGGGATCGATCCTGGCTACTAAAAGGCCAATTGCTCAAACGTATGATCCGGATATAGAACTGGGCTTGGTTAACCTTTCAGGCCCAATGTTCTAGGCCGACCAGGCTTCAGACAAAGATTTTCTGATAAGTCGTCGAAACGCAAGAACTGTTTTCGAGTTCACTATTAACCCAAAGCCAGATGCTCAAGGTTTCAGCCGCTAACCGTCTCCCCTCCCCATCAAAGGGTTCAAAACAACCAGCAGCACCCACCTCCAATAATGATTATAATCCCAGCCATCTTCAAATCCTCAAGAAATGCACCCATTTAATCCAATTCAAGCAAGTTCATGCCCAAATCATCAAAACCTCACTTCAAAACCAAGCCGATAGACACCTTTCCAAACTTATCGAAGCCTTGGTTGGCTCTGCCAATCTCCCCTATGCTTGCCTGGTTTTCGACCAAATAACCCAGCCTTCCACGTTTGCTTTCAACACCATGATTAAAGGCTACGGAACAAATAATTTGGGTCGTAAAGGAGTTTACCTTTATAGCCAAATGAGATTCCAGGGCCTTAACCCCGATAATTTTACTTACCCATTTCTTTTAAAGGCTTGTAATGGTCTTAAACAAGGAAAGGGAGTCCACTCCCTGGTTGTCAAATACAAAACATTTAGTTTAGAGATACATTCGTTAACTTCTTTGATAACGTTTTATTGTTCTTTTGGTGATGTAGAATCTGCCCGGTTGTTGTTTGATAGGATGCCTGAGAAAAATGTGGTTACTTGGACTGGGATTATAACTGGTTATGTGAAGCAAAAGAGGTATAAAGAAGGGATTGAGTTATTTTATCAAATGAAGAATTCTGGGGTTGAAATAAATGAATTGACTTTGGTTTGTGTACTCTCAGCTTGTGCTAATTTGGGAGCTTTGGAAATAGGTAAATGGGTGCATGAATATACCAATAGGAAGAGAATATTTTTGAATCCAAAGCTTGGTGCTGCTCTCATTGACATGTACGCTAAATGTGGTCACATTGACAAAGCTTCTCAAGTTTTTCAGACTGTGCCTTGTAAAGGCGTCTATGTTTGGAATGCTATGATTGGGGGACTTGCAATCCATGGTTATGGGATTGAAGCGATTGATAGATTTATGGAAATGCAAGGGAGTGGAGTAAAGCCAGATGGAATCACGTTAATTGCGGTTTTGTCTGCTTGTAGTCATTCAGGGTTGGTGGAGAAAGGAAAGGAGATTTTTCATTCAATGAGAAAGGATTACGAGATTGAGCCTAACATCAAGCATTATGGATGCTTGGTGGACCTCTTATGCAGGGCAGGACTCTTGAATGAGGCTTACGAGGTTATAATAAACATGCCAATGGAACCTAACGCAGTTTTGTGGGGAACTTTGCTGAATGCCTGTGCTGCTACTACTAATGTTGAGCTAGCTGAGGCTGCAATGCAACAGCTGATGGTTTTGGAACCATCTAATGATGGAAACTATGTTCTTATATCGAATATTTATGCTGCAAAGAAACGTTGGGATGATGTAGCTAGGATTAGAAAGATTCTGAAAGATGGACAGATAGTGAGGAACCCCGGCCATAGTTTGATTGAAGTGGATAACATTGTCCATGAATTCATGATCGGTGATGGTAGGCACCCTTGTTCAGAAGAGATATATGACATGTTGGAAAAGGTCACCCTAACCTTAAAAGAACAGAGTGGTAGGTTATGGAATTGCTTAGGTGCATCTAAATGTTAATTCAACTTGTGTTATTGAACCTGTTGTCAACAATCTGCAAAACACTAGGGTCAAATTGAACTGAATAATCATCCCATGGTTAGGCAACTTTCGAAGTTTGAAGAATTATATATTAAGCCAAACGCTTCTTTCTTTCCTGTTTTCCCTCTATTCTAATTGTTTAATGTCTTCCCTCGACTTTTCATTCTTGTACCCACCAGGAACAAATATTGAAAACATAGGAACGTTCTGCATTGACTAGTAAGGTAATTCTATTTTTTTTTTTAACCATATAAACGAGAAAATATATAGACAAGACTTTTATATAAAAGGATATTACAACTTTTTTTGGGTGCCCAACGCTTGCCAAGAAGAAGCTCAACATTAGGGGTGAAAAAAAAATCCAAAACATTTTAAAATCGATTTAATGTATGATTTGAATTTTTTTTTTTAATGTTCGATTTGAATTAAATTAAAATATTAAATTTAAATTTTGAATTAAAAAATAAAAAATTTAAAAAAATCGAATCAAATCAAAATATATATATTGTTAAATTTTTATAAAATACAAATAATAATTTTATATCAAAATATATTTAAAATTTTATATTAAAATAATATATAAAAATTAAAAAAAATTAATAAATCAAATCAATAAAATTTAATTTGAATCAAATATAATTTTGATTCTAATTCGATCCGTTATTCCCTACTCAAAAACCGTTACTTTTTCCAACTCTTACTTCACAAATAACACAGAGCATAAATGTTGAATTGGCTACCCAGGGAAGAACATCAATTCAATCTCACTGCTTAGTTGTTTTTGGCCCAAATTGGCAGCAAAATAACAGATTGTTGATACCAAACAAGGCCCATATTAGATGGTCAGCAGCCCTCATAATTTATAATTCATTAGAAACGAACAAAACTTCATCACAAAGAGGAGCTATTTTGAAAGTTCAACTAGATAGGATATAAATATTCCTCCAGAAAAAGAGTAACATGAGATTGCAGCTGACACATGACCATTTAAAAATAAAAACACAACTAAAGTTACTTTGAAAGGAAACAATGGTATTCCTAAGTCATCCTCTGGGCAGCCTCTTTTGCAAGAAGCTTCTCCTTTGCCTTAGTTCTGGCCTGTGACTTGGAGCCCATGATACCACCTCCCCACTTCTTCCTGTACTCATCATACTTGTCGTTGAAGTTTGCCTGCAACATAAGTTGCAAGTTAATCATGTGATGTATAACTTGAACAGAAATTATATAAAAATATTGCAGGTGTAAATTGTAATCTAACCTTGATAGCCTCGAGGATTTTGCTGAACTCCAACTTATCCTCGTTCTTAACTGTGGTTAAGCACAAGACAGATGCAGTTTTCTTGTGGACAATCTGCAGTAGTATAAACACAAATAAGTAACCTGCTCACTTAACTCTACAATTGGCAGAAAAGCACACAGATCTGAAAGACAACTACCGATCCCAAACGTGCTTTCCCCTTGACAATGCAGTAAGGGACCTCCATCTTTCTGCACAAAGCAGGGAGCCAGACTACCAACTCTATGGGATCCACATCATGAGCGATAACAACCAATTGTGCCTTATTCTGCAGAGGAAATAGTAAAAAAGATCATTATTAAAGAACTTTGCAATAAAGAAAAAGCACAGTACCACAGTAGCTAAACTGATGAATATAAAGAAAATAGAGGGCAACCTGCTCAATAAGGTAGGTAACATGGTTAAGTCCGTATTTCACAACAATTGGTTTCTTAGACTCTGGAGCCTTTCCTTCAGCCTCAGCCTGGGCTCTTTTCAGGAGACGCTCCTTCTTGGCTGCCTTGTCCTCTGGCCTGTACTTGAGGAGCAACTTGAACAGGCTTGTTGCTGCAATAGGACGTGAAATGAAGAAGGAACGAAATAAAACAGAAAGGGAACAAAATAAAACAGGGACGTAAAGCTAAAAAATTAAGAATGAAAAGAAAAAAAAAAACATTTGTCTTTTCATTTAAACTTAAAATGGTAAATAGCACCTCTCAGGGGTTAATGTATTTTTCATCAAAACCCACACAATATGAGGATGTTTTCTAAACTAAAGACAATAAGTGTATTTTCTATTAAACTTTGGGGAATAAGTTTCTTTTAACCAAAGAACTAATCAAAGGGTAGATAAAATAACCATTGAGAAATCCATAATTCACTCAAACTAAAATTCATGGATCTAATACATACATAGAAACAAGTGAAGATTTTATTGCATACCAAGGTTCTTATCAAGAGTCTTGGTAAACTGGTTCAATGCTGGTGGCACCTTCAACCTCTGCTTAAGGATCCTCTTTTTCCTTTGAATGCGAACGACCTTAGGCCACTTCACAAATCGATGCAAATCTTTCTTTGGGGGTAGAGCCCCTCCAATACCGAACTGCCTTGGACGCTTCTCAAATAATGGATTGACAACCTTCTCCTATTTTCCAAAATTAAAAGAATTAACAAATAGTGAGGCCTCAATCAAATTATTTTAGGGTTCAGATGATTAACAAAGTAATGAAAATTACTTGTTTCTTCTTGGCGGGCACAGCCGCCTTTCCACCTCTCTTTGGGGCCTGCATTTAACAACAAAGTAAATAAAACACAAAGATAAACCCCTTTAAACAAGAACATCAATACATAACTAGATTCAAACCATCAAACTTATATCACCAGAATCACTAAGAAATTCTTTAAACAATCAATAAACTTCCCTTGCTTTATTTCGGGAACTCAATATCTACAGGGAGAATTTCCCCAAACGACCTACAGTGCCAAAGCTTCTTCAAAACTTATTGACCGACACAAACATTAGTTCTTTAAGGTAAACTAAGACTTAAATCTTTCAATGTAATCACTGTTCACTACATCATAATAATAGCTGTCATAGATCAAACCATTTCCAATAAAATGATCATTTTCCCTAGAAAGTTAAAAATGTCATCTAACCCAGGAATTTACAATAAGTTTCTCAGGTGATAATCCTCTAACTACATTCCATACAATATTACAACAACACCAATCTAAGCCTTATATCCCATAACTCTGAGATCGACTGTATGAAAGGCCAAATATAAAATCATGTTAGATCATGGTTTTGAATCTTTTTGTGACACTCTTTTAAGATTCGATATAATATTAAATCTCAAAATTAAAAAAAAAAAAAAGCTCAGTGAACAGCACCTAAGGCGAAAGCAAGCAGAAAATGAAAGAAACGTAGTTGAAATGGGGTTTCGGATTTTACCATTTTTTGCACCTCCTTACGGTTCTTCCAAGCTTTTGTTGTTGAGTAAGAACGGCGGAGGAAAACCCTACAAAGAACGTAAAAGCAAAAGGTAAACAACTAGGGTTTATATTAAGAACAAGGGTCATATTTGGGCCGGTAGTCAAGAACTATGGGCTTGTCGGACCCTTTCCACATGTCTCAATTTTTAACCGTATAAATGGGTTCGATATATAAGCCCAACGTTCCAAACACAAAGATTTGACTGTTTTGGGCTTGAATGCACAAAATGAAAAACATTGTCCCGATGATTTTAAGTGAATTTTGTGTAAAATATTAAAATTTTTATATTCATAATATATTTTGCATAAAATTATGTTTTATAATTTACGTGGATTTTAAAATATAAAATATTTTATTTTATTTTATTAAATTTATATATATTATCATCAAAATTTAAATCATATTAATTTTTTATTTTATTTTTATTATATTTATATCATATTATTATATTGTATTTTAAATTATTAAATATAATTTTAAGCACTAATACATTATTGAACTTCAAATTTAAGAATGTCTTAATGGCCAGTAGGGCAATAGTAAGAGTTTGCCATTATCAAATGATAAATGAGTGGTACGGTCTAACTAATAATTTTCATTTATTTTAGTTATAATTATCAGGATTCAAAGAAAATAAAAAATCGAGCGTCAATATGTTTAATTTGTGGTTGTAGGTAGAATAAGTAAAGAAACGAAGAATTATTTTAAAATTTATTTTTTAATTTATTATCTTGGTATAAAGAAGATCGTAATTTAAAAAAAAAAACAAAAAATTATAAATTTTGAGATATAAATATTTAAATGTAAACTGTTAAAAATAATTAAATAAATAAATTGAATTAAATTTCGTTAATTTTAGAAAATGAGAAAGAAGGGTTGGATTCAAGACCCAATATGATTTGAGTTGGGTTGGGTAGGTAGCTTCCAAAAGAGCTTTGGTCATTCAAGTCATGTCCAGATCCCAAAGTCCAATCCCAACCCAACTTTTTGCTGTCAAAGCTTTACTTTCCTTAAACAAATCAATAATTACCATGAAAATCTTTCTCTACCATGAAAATCAGTAATAATTTATCCCAAAACCAGGTACTAACACTAACCGCCTTTGAATGTTAAGCACCAAGATTTAGAACTACTCTGATATTTTCATTATTCACTGTATAGATAGGGAAGAATCATTCTAGAATTTTGGACTGTTTGTAAGTGCAAATTTTTTTGTTCATTAAATTGAACACTAAAAATATTATAAATTTATTGACTTTTTTTAAAAATTAATTAATATATTATTAGAATTAACATTTAAAATTTATAAATTTAAAAATTTTATATTCGTAATATTTTATTCATTTATTAGAATAAAAAGTTTTAAAAATAAATTATAAAATTTAAAAAATATATTATAAATGTAATTTTTTTAATTCATAATTTTAAATAATTTAATAATCGTGGAGTTAATATTAATTGATTTAAATACTTAAAATATAAAAATAAAATTAATTCGAATTCATAATTAAAATCAATTTTAATGCGAGTTTAAACTTTAATCATAACTAAAAAAAATCAAAACGGATTCGTTTTGGCGGTAAAAATTTTGCAAATAAAGTTTTGCAAAATTTGCATGGTAAAAATAAAATTAAAAAGAAAAAAAACCAAAGCCCGCTCTTCCCCAAAGAAAGTCTTCGGTAGCCCGCTCGTTCCTCCCTCTTCTACTCATCTCCCTCGCGCGCCCTGTCGAAATTTATTATTCCTTATCTCAAATTTGCCCTCCAAATCCAAGCAAACAAAAGTCAAAACACCAAACACTTGTTTGTCATTTCATAGCACTGGACCAGTCACCATAGGTACTCTCTACTCTCTCTGTCTCTCTCTCTCTCTCTCTCGATCTTTTAGGGTTTGATTCAATTTAGGGTTTTAGGGGGAAACGGGATTTCGCTGTTTGATTGGTGGTTTCTATGGCGACGGAAACCCTAGACGAGAAGAAACCGGACGAAGAGGAGGCGGCTGCTCCGGTTAACGCAAAAGAGGAGGTTAAAGAAGAGAAAGAGAAAGAAAAAGAGGAGGAAAGTAAGGAGATTTCCGAGAAAGAAGTTTGTCGGGAAAGTGAGGAAAAGAAGGAAGTTGAACAGAAAGAGGAAGAAGAAGAAGAGAAAGCTGAGGAAACTAAGGAGGAAGAAGAGAACGAAGAAGAAGGGACCAAAAGTGCCAAAGGTAATAGAAGAAAGCGAAGCTCCAGGACACCACGACGACGTTCGGCTGAGAAGAAAGAGCCTGTTACGCCGAGTAGTGACAGGCCTACCAGGGAAAGGAAAGTGGTCGAAAGGTACTCGGCTCCTTCCCTTGCCAGGTCTTCCTCTGCCAAAGCTTTGTCAATTGAAAAGGTATTGTCTTTGGTTAATGATTTTATTTGCTTTGTACCCCCTTTTTTATTGTCTGTTGTTTCTGTGTTTTGATTGTTTTTGGAATATCCCGTGCTTTCAGGGTCCTGGTACTCGGCTTAAAGATATTCCAAATGGTATGCGTCTCTTCTCTTTCTTAAATGTTTTACTATGCATTACTATATGTTTTCTTTGAATTTCATGGGATTTGACAGTGCTTCTATTCTGTATTAAATTCATGACGACAGCAATGTAGTCAAGATTATAAATTGAGTACGGCTTAGAACTTGGTTGCTTAGAACTTGGTTAAATTTAGTCCTTTTTAACACTATGTGAAGGGCATGCGTTTTGTTGGATGCTGTAAAATATCTGAGGCTTGGTTATTAGTTATGAATTGGGTTCACATTTGTAAAAGCAGAAAAATCAGTCTCCATAAAACCTGTCAATGAAGATGTAAGTAATGGCATTAACCAATGTTAAAACTGAGGTGACACCTGTTGCCATGTGCAGTTTGTAAGAATTTTGTAAGAATGGGCAGATGTCAAGCCTTTTGAACTGTTATGATAGCTTATTTAATACTTGCTGATAAAGTTTGCAACTATTGTCTCTTCGTGCCTTCTTTGTTCAATTTTTGGGTATCAGGAGTTCATACCAATAGTTTCATTATGGATTGCCGTGCTTAGGGGGAGTTTTGTAGGTACTTGAATTGCTTGTGAAGTTGATGGTATAATGGTATTTGACTAGTAACAATATTTAGTGTTTACTTCTTATCTCTGCAGTTTTCATCTAATTTTTGACTTTCAAGTCAAGATTGTCTTGGATGACAGATAGATTAGATTCTAATCCTATTGTTGGGATGTCATTTTCTTTGAAACAGTGTTGTTTACGTGCTTATTCAACTTGGTGTTACAGCAGAGTCTGGCCTATTTTTTTTCTCTGATGTTGTAAACTGTTTCAGTGGCTTTCAAGTTGTCGAAGAAAAAACCTGATGATAATCTGCAGATGCTTCACATGATACTATTTGGAAAGAAAGCAAAGGTAATTGAGCTATCTTCCTTTGTTGTTCAATGATACTTTTTTATGTATTTATTGTATTTTTTTAACTTTTACAGCCTCACAGTTTGAAGAGAAACATTGGCCAATTTTCGGGCTATGTTTGGGTTGAGAATGAGGTATTTTCTTTGATCCTATGAAAGTTGGTTTTATTCATTTCTTTTCCCTGTTGTGTTGTCCACATGTAAGATTCTCCTATTGGATTTAGTAAAAGTAGGTTTAATTGAAGATACATTGCTTATGCTTGACTGTGTATAAGCTGCTATTCATTAAATGAAGTCTTGTTCATGCCCATTATTGTTTTATCTTTTCAGCAGGAAAAACAAAAGGCAAAAGTAAAGGAAAAAATTGAGAAATGTGTTAAAGAAAAGTTGGTTGATTTCTGTGATTTGCTGAATATTCCAATTGTCAGGGCCACTGCAAGAAAGGTCAGTAAGAAATATATGCAGTGTAATATTTTTATGTAGTAATTTGCTTGTTTATTTGGGAATAACTCATTTCTTTTTTCAGGAGGAACTCTCTGCCAAATTGTTGGAATTTCTGGAATCTCCCCATGCTACAACTGACATTCTACTTGCTGACAAGGAACAGGTACAATTTTATTTCATATTCTTTTGCTTGTTATGGAGTATTTGGCATGATTAACTGTAAGTTTGGGACTGAATGAGATTCTTTATTTGTCTTGTTTCAGAAGGGTAAAAAGCGTAGAGCTACACCAAACAAAAACATTGGTTCTGGGGAAGCATCAGATACATTAGCTAAGGTTTGTCTTGTTTGTTTGTATTCCCTTTTGATATATATCTTTTTGTTGTCTACTCTATGCACCTATAATTGTGGACTAGCGTTTGGTTCTGCATGTATTGCTGTGCAATTTTGTATTTTTAAATTTATTAATTCCATGTTATTTCTGTTTAAAATTTTCTTTTATTGTGTATCATTTTTACCTCTTCTTCTGTGCTGAGTTTATAATTCTTATGATGAGTGTGGTGTGGTTAATTTTTGGTGTTGTTAACCATAAGAACGAATGATTTAAGCTTGAATGCTAAAGTTCTGCTTTGAAAAGGTTTTTTATAGATATGCTGGTCTAATGTGATATCATTAAACCGATCATTCGTTAATGGTATCATTAAAATTGATAAAATTGTTTTTTTTTTTTTGCCAATAAGAATGAAGTTTTAGAATTGTCAATTTTTCATGTTCTCTGTGAGGGTCATTGATTAATCTCCGCCAATTGAAGTTTGGTGCTCTCAAGACTTGAACTTGCATCCCTATTTAGTCTTTTGTACCACTTCCCTACTCATTGGCTGCTGCGCGTATGGTCTAATTTTTTAAAATCTCTTTGTTTTGTATTGTTCATGTAGTAGTGAATATAGTGATGTGCATTTCATATATTGTTTTTCGTCCAGTCATGGAGATATTTTTTCTGTAATTTGTTCATGAAGTTTGTCATCATGTTTGTGAGGTTTTTTGCTCATTCCATATTGGTCCTTCCATGGTCCTTTGTGGATTCAGTATAAAGTTTGTTTCACCTGGTAAGTCATGAGTTATCTTTGGTTTTTTAGTTATTATTAGTTTGTCTGCATCTTTTTATTTTCCTGAATCTTGTGATTTGTTCATTATCATCTTTCCCAAGGTTCACGGTGAGAATTTCACTTTGATATGCATTTAACAATGTTTATTGCACTTGAAAATGAGTGTTGGCACTTGTAAGTGTCATACACAAGCATGCTCAGTTTTTTCTTATGTTTGGAGGGTTAAGACATCGTATCTATGTGACTATGTCCATGTGTGTTCTATATGTGTCTAACATGGGCACTTTAGGAAAACTGATCATCACAGCAATGTCTATCCACTATCCAAGTTCCCAGTCTTTATTTTTTAGTCAATGTAGTTTTAATAAATTCTTAATTTGGTAGATTGACTTCCACTGTTTCATTTTTGGAGAAATAAAAGCTTTTACATGTTTTTGTTTGGGTGAAGCTTGGATTGCAGTTTCACATATTTTCTGTCTAAACTCTCAAATAAGGATGTGCTGCAGAAATCTAGCTGGCAATTGCTGCTCGAGAATGAGAAATTTTCTCTCATTTTTATCTATTTATTTGTCTCTGACTTTTTTTAATATTTGTGGCATTGTTGGCTGAGAGTGCTTGATGCTTGTTATTTTGTTTCCAATTTTGCTCTACAGAAGCGACAAAGAACACCCCAAGGTGGGAAAAAGCATAAGCGATCATCCAAAGCTGAGGAAAAAGATGAAGATGATAAAGTTGAATCCCCTGTCACTAAAGATTCTCATGAAGATGATGCTGACACTACATTGAATGAAGTCAGTGGTGATGAAGAGACGAAATCAGAGGAAGAAGATGAACCCAACAAGTCAAGCAAAAAAGGTACTTCAAAAAAGATTGCAGTGGAAAGTCCAGAGTCAAAAAGCAAGGATAAATCTACATCTGGAAAGAAGCTTACCCCTGCAAAATCTAGCAGAAAATCTTCTGGGTCAGCTTCAAAACAAGGTGCTTGTGATGGTGATGGGACTTCTGGCTCCAAATCGAAGGGTACTGCATCAAAAAAGCAGAAGGTTGAAAAGGAAAGCACTAAGGATGGCAGTTTCTCCACCAAAGACAAGGTTGCTGGCAAGAAGCAAACAAACAAGTCACCTGCAAAGGTTTTTGCCAAGACTCAAGGTAGATTTCTCTAGCTATACTGTTGAAATGTTGTGCATGTTTACTCAGGCTTGTGTTCATAAGGTTTTACTAAATTTGGATGTGTTTATCCGTGTATATTATCAAAAGAAAAGCTTCTAGGCTAGGGATATCTTAAGTGGTTTTTTGCATTTATTGATTTTTTTTATTCTAATCCTTTGAGTTTATGCTGTTATGACAGGTAAAAGCAAAAGTGGGAAGAAGCCTAAAGCAGAGCCTAGCAGGGAAGAAATTCATGATGTAGTGGTAGATATTCTAAAAAAAGTGGACTTCAACACCGTAAGTATTGTCTTTATCCTTGTAATTTGGAGATTAAATGATTAAATTCAATATTGTAGTGCTAAAATTTTTTTCTGTTTGTGATTCAGGCAACATTATCTGATATTCTTCGGCAACTGGGTAGGTTTACCTTTAGTTATTAAAATATTTAAGTTACAATAATAATTTTCTATACTAATTATAAGATTTCAATTGTATCAGGTATGCACTTCGATCTGGATTTGATGCACAGAAAAGCTGAGGTTAAGGACGTTATTACAGAAGTGATAAATAACATGTCTGATGAGGATGAGGAAACAGAGGAAAGCGAGGAGAATGCTGATGCAGGTGGTGCTGCTGATAAAGATGTGGATGGGGATGATGATGCTTAGTTCACTTGTGGAATTATATGACCATGTAAAACATGTGAGATATGTGCAGTCATCGGTAATTTTTCTTCCTCCTGGGATTTCATTTGCTATTCTCATACAATTACAAATTGGAGTAGTCATTTTAGATGTTCAATAGGTGGAATTGTGTACCATATGACTAACATGAGTTAGCGACTCTTGTAGTACTTTATTGCTGAACGGGCTTCAATTTTCATTATTTTTAGGTTTTTTTTTTTTAACTTGAATTTGTTCAAGTTGTATTTAACTATTTAGTTATAATCAACCAGTGAATGCATTTCTAGTAGTAAAAGTGGTGCAAATCAATTCTGTAGCCTATAAGATTGGTTGCTCTAGACATGGTCCCTCCTTGTCATGAATAAATCATCCACTGCCACTCATCCAAGCATTGATGTTCTAATTTCAAACAGAGGATGCCAAAGAATTGCATTCATTAATTTTCCATTCATGTATTGGCAGCCCCAAAAATGGGGTCATCTTAAGCAGCAGGCTGCTCCAGAGTCCAAATAAAGGGACGAACAAGAAATCCTCAGATTTGGCTATGACATCTCATGTTTTCTGTTGGCTATCAAGAGACTTACGGTTGAACTGTCCAGTGATTTATCACAGAATTTGCTTACTAGAGATTATTTATGATGGGGATTGCGAGATTCTACTTTGAGTGAGTGTGTTGGTGTTTACATAGTCCTAACAAGCTGCTTGTCAGCCCAGGTCATTAAATATTGAATTGTCATTTTTTTTTCCAGTTCTATAGCCTGAAATTGTACAGTAGCTTACCAAGTTTCTGCTAGTTAAACATCAACTATTTTTCCTTCCAGGGGAGGTGCAATAAAAGTTTGCTAGCTACAATTCAAATATTGAATATTTGAAGAGGTATGCACTGTAGTCCTTTTGACTCAGCCGTTCTCTGCTGAATAAACTTGTTAAACAGGGTAAGATTTTGATTAAGATTATGAACACATCTCCGCTTAAAGTTTTTGAACTAACAAATGTTTAAAATTAGTTTCCAATGTAAGTTTAATCGATTTCATGTGATCCAATGTAATCCAATCTGTCTTTCAAGCCTAAAACACTAGTAAGGAATTGCGCCTTATGATGATTGGCCCTCCAATGTTGATTAAATGCTCCAAATCATTTCCTTCATCTGTTTCTGATACTATTTTATGTGGAAAAGGCCATTCATCAAGGAAACATGTATTATCGATGATTTTGGAAGGCGGTTTCGGCAAAAGATCCAGATTTTCGTGTATTTTGGTTTATTGGACACAACAGGCACTGAAATCCCATAGTCTGATCATGTTCATAACACGTATCTCTTAATTTGTAATAAAGTACGGAGTCGAGCAGGAAATTCAGGAAACCGACATGTGAGTTTTACTCTCAAAACATTCAGTTAATCAAGATGTAAATTCTGAGATAATGGTTATTGCTCTTGGGCTAAGTCCGAGAAGCTTTTCTTTGAGTTGTTTAATGGTAGCTCGTTTTTTACTCAAAAAAGTAACTAAATTCTATAGACTACATCAAATCTAGCAGCATCTGATAGTAACTTTTATTTCCTTCTTTCCTTTCTTCTGAACAAACCCAAAACCATTCTTTGAAGGAAACTAAGAGGTAAGAATCTTGCCTTCCAGGTGACTAAATTCAAGTGTGGAGGATTAGCTATTGGAATGAGCATGAACCACTGTATGCTAGATGGGATTGGTGCTATGGAATTTGTAAATGGATGGGGTGAAGTTACCAGAGGCTTGCCCTTAAAGATCCCTCCATTTTTAGAAAGAAGCATTCTAAAAGCACGGAACCCACCTGTGATAGAATTTTCACACCATGAATTTGATGAGATTGAAGATATATCAAACACAAGCAAGCTCTACGAAGAAGCGGAAGAAGAAATGCTCTACAAGTCATTCCTTTTTGACCCAGATATGCTTGAACAACTCAAGGAAAAAGCTACAGAAGATGGAATTCTATCCAAATGCACCACCTTTGAAGTCCTAGCAGGCTTTGTCTGGAGAGCTCGGTGTCAAGCATTAAACTTGATTTCTGAGCAACAGACTAAGCTCCTCTTCGCTGTTGATGGACGGCGAAGATTTATCCCTCCATTACCTGTAGGCTTTGCTGGTAATGGGATTGTTTTAACATACTCATTAGCTACTGATGGTGACTTAGTTGAGAAGCCGCTATCCTTTGCAGTGGGATTAATCCAACAGGCAGTTAAATTGGCTACAGACAGGTATATGAGATCAGCCATTGACTATTTTGAAGTAACAAGAGCTAGGCCTTCTTTGTCTGGAATTGTTCTGCTTACAACTTGGTCTAAGCTATCTTTCTACACCATAGACCTTGGATGGGGAGAACCCATATCATCAGGGCCTGTATCTTTGCCAGAAAAGCTAGTTATTCTCTTCCTTCCTCATCAGAAAGATAAGAAAAGCATTAGTTTGTTTCTGGGATTGCCAGCTTCTGCAATGAATACCTTTGAAGAACTAATGCAGATTTGAAAAGTCAAGAGGATTTGTTCTCTTTTCTAGTATAGATAGGCATATTTACAGAAGTTCTATTGTTGAACCATTTGTCATAATTGTCTGATGTAACAGTTCATTTCCCGAAAGAAGAATGGATTATACGTGCTGCTCCAAACAAAAAGGCTGTGTCAGATGTATACTTGCATTCATTTCTGAGGCTTTATGTCAGTACGTAGTTTTCTTCAATTCAAGATCAAAAATAACCTCAGATCAGCTACCTTCTGAGTTCTAATTCATATTATTTGTTCATGTGATCATGTGGCATAATTCTTAGTCAAATGGGCGTCTGTACTCGTATCAAAAGTAAGAATTTATACTGTATATATTGATGTAAGAAAGCCAGATGAGGCCTTCGAGATATATGCAACTGCTCTAATTCTCTGCGTTTCAAACTATGAGAAATGCAGTCTTTAGGAGCACATTTTTCCAACAGCTTCCTCAATATTCTGTGGATTAATCCATTTTCATGTGCTTGAATTATTTCACTTTTGGTTTTGCATTGCCTTATTTCAAATTCAAATTGCACATAAAAAATGCCAGATCATTACTACAAATTATTTGTAGACTTAAATCTCACATTTCTCTCAGCTTTTCCTCTATTTATAAAATGTGAAAGATATATCAATCATCAACACATTCCTGCAATGAAGGCTACTGACTAATTGAGTTTACTCACAACCATTAACTTCTTATCTGTTTATCAATGCTGTAGCAGAATAGATCAAAACAATAATACACCATGAGGCATCAAAGGATAAGCAGTTGGCAACGGGGATTGACTTGAATCAATAAAAATTGAATACATTTCATTTGTAAGGTTTAAACTCTGATTCTCGCTACTAGCAGGTAATTTATAAATCCAATGTAAATCTTATTTAACGCCTGCAATCTGACTCAAATGGGAAACCGCTTTTCACCCTAACTTAAAAGGATATAAAAAAAATGTTAGTTACTTACGATTTATTGGGTACATGACCATTAGTCATATGTTTTTTTGATAAATAACCGTGATTAGTCATTAGTCATATGTTGGTTGATTTCTATTGAAACATTACTTCCTCCAATGATGAGAAAGCGTACAAGTTGGTATTTAGAGTCATCAGGAAAACGTAGTTTTCAAGAATAATTTTGATTAGATCAATTATTTCATATAATAATTTCTAAAATATGATATTTGATTTAAATCTCAGCACTTTATTTTTTTATTTTTAAACTATAACTTCTTTATTAAAAAAATAATAAGTGAATGTTGATAGCTAAATAAATGAAATTTATTATGTTGATACATTGTCGTCTCATTTTATAGTATCAATTTATCATCATCTAAATTTCATAGAAGATCAATTTATATCCAATCTTGATATCTAACAAAACTCAATAAATAAATCAGACAAAATCAAGAAATCAGTCTATGTTTTCTTACCAACAGCCCCAGATTAGTGACTACAATCACACGTAAACCAAAACCAAGAAACCACCAACAGTAGCAGTGGTTATTGTTTTGGTTAAATGCAGTGAGTTCTATGCAGAAAAAACAGTACAAATTAACTAGAAAAATCTTTCAAGGAAAGTTGTGGCGACACCTATATATGTTAGAAGTAAAAAGAAGAAGAGCATGCAAGGAAAGGGGTAATTGCATGCACCTAAGAGAAAGCATTGAGGAAATAGTGGAACAGAAGGTGGACCAAGTAGGCCAAGCACTTTTAATTGGGTTAATGATACGATAGCTTATATGATATCTAAACTATAAATTTATTAATTAATGTGATATTTATTGGATTTTTGATCAATAATTTTCGATTTGAGAACAACAAATAATTTTTGATTTGTGGTTTTGTTCTTGATCAATGTATTTAACCAATCTTGCACACACTTGTATAAGCGTTTAATTCACAATTTCTATATAAATAAATAGTCTAACAGTCCATAAGGAAGCTAGTGTCAAAGCACAAACCTAACGTGTTATTTATCCAAGAGATAAAGTGGCATCTGGCGGTATACTATGGATACGGGGTGAAGAATTTTTTGGTTCAGATTGATTTATGTTATTGAAAGGTACTATCAAACAGATTTCAAATCAATCTTCTTAATGCACCAAATGATCAAAAAGAAAGGAAGGTTTTATGGATTGAATTGTTAGAGATAATTAAAGAAAAGTTCACAGGGGCGGGAATGAAATGAAATAAGAATTCGGCCCATACTTTTCTTTCTGAATGCATTCAAAACAATTAAAAGTACTAGAGTGCTATAAATCCTCCGCTCGAGATTGCTTTTCTATAGCTGGTGGGTGGCACTCCTTCTCCAAAAGCAAGCGAATCAGTGAAATGACGGAATCCAAAAAAAATAATTTAACGGGCCCTGGAAGGAATTCCGGGGGGGTCTGGCTCATCGAACAGAAATGCCTAGTCTGCATTGTGGGGAACTTCAAGAAATTCCCAAGTATCAAGCAATCTGCTTACCAAAGTCTCTTTCTTCATCATATTAAAAAGCTGTCAGAAGATTAACAGGATTGACTCGTGCTTCCAACTGTGTAAATAAAAATGTTTTTATAGCTTGGGCTTAAATGGTACTACTCTTGATGCATGATTATTTGTATTCTAGTTCTATTAACTAAAATAATTTTGATGTCACGGTATTTTAATTTCCTTTGGAAATTTTTTTGAAAAAAAGCCTTTTGCTAATCGTAATCATGTTTGCTTAGGGTCTGAAGAAAGGAATTGTGGTCCTAAGCCTTTTAGGTTCTATTCTCATTGGCTCGAGGAGGTTCAACTTTCAACTATTGAAAATAGTAGGGTTTCATGGAAAGCTATGTCTTATGACAATAACTTGGAACGAGGTGGATGTTTGGAAAAAGCTAAATGGAACAAAAACAATGAATAAATCTGGTTGTGAATGGTAGAATTTCTGAACTTGAGGAGGAAATTAACAGTGCTGAAAAGCACATGGAAGATGGGGATTCCAACAATATAGAAGAGAGAGCAATAGCAGCAAATTTACGGCAACGGGTAGGAGTGGAATGAGTTTTTTTTGTCTTGAACTCATTCCTACTGTATATAATAAATACTCAAATATGATTTTATTTGATATTAAAATATTGTTTTTATTTAAATTTAATGTAATCTAAAATTAATAAAATATTATTTTTAAATTTTAATTATAAAATTAAATTTATATATAAATTTATATAAATATAAAAAAAAATAAATAATAAAAAAATTATATATATTGGGTTAGGGGTGGGGCGGGTTTTGTTTAGAACCTGACCCCATCCCAATTCTAAATAAATAAAAAAAGGTAGCCAACCTGAAATTTTAAAAAAAAAAAAAATTCTTATAAGATTATATTGCATCGAAATCCGACGGATTCATGTTGGATTGCCAATCTTAATATAGAGGTGTAGAATTTGTAAGAAAGACAGAATCAAATGGTTGTAAGAAGGGATCGATCCCAACACAAATTTATTTTTATTTGATATGACAGCATAAATCAAATAGACGGAGGAGGACGTTTCATGGAAAACTATGCGCCAATGGTGTTGAATTATTCCAGCCAGGGCCAGGGATGTTAAAAATGCAGTTGTTGGTTACTTTCACTCACATTTTAATCAAAAACCTGGGTTCACTCCATTTGTGCTGGATTACGAACTCAAAAGTTTGAGTGAAGCCCAAGCTAGGGCGTTGGAAGAGCCTTTCATTGAAAAGGAAATACAGCAAGCAACTAGTGCATGTGATGGAAACAAGGCACCTGCACCAGACGGGTTCAACATGAATTTTTTCAAACAAAACCAGATAGCAGCTACTTGAAAGATATATTCTGAGATTATTCTTTCAAGATATTTTTGATAAAGGAAGCTTTGAGAAGAATAATAATGCCACTTTCATTGCTTTGGTATCAAAACAATCAAAATTAAAATAATATTATCATACAACGAATAAATATATAATTTTTAAATTTATCACATAATAATTTTTTTATTGTTGTTTATATGTGATGAAAATCTGTTAAAATAATATTATTTTATATTTAATAAATATTTAATTCTCCTTAAATATAATTGCTGAATATTGGCCCATCTGCGTGGTTATTACATACTAATCATTTTGTTTTGGAATTTCGAAGTGTTCTTGGAAAAGTTTGGATTAATTAGAATTGAATTATAAGTTCAATTTCTTTTTTTAGTAAGCTTAATTCAAGCTTATTTTAATTCGAATTTAAACTTAAATTTGGCTCTCGTGTTTATAATCAAAATTTATCCAAGTTTAAAGTCTAATATCTGGAGCTTTTGAATTGTTGGTTGGCTCTCGAAATTTGCTTTTTTATCCTTGAATTATTAATTAAGCTTTAAATTTGTTAATTGAATTTTTCAATTTTTGATTGGGCCTTGAGGCCCCAATAAGAGTTGGTCTGTTCGAAATTTTATATTTTTTATATTTTTTATGTATTATATTTCTTTATTTTAATAAAATTAGAAAAAATAAAATAAAAAATCAGAAAATTGAAACTTTGAAGGAAAATCAGATTGAAAATCTTTGGAATGATAAAAAAAAAATTGGGAATCAAGGAAAATCTGAAATGAAAAACAAAGGGTAAGTCTTGGAGCCAAAGAAATAGAATCGAAAATTGTGGCTCAAGACACTGAATTACATAAAATTTTTTAGATAAAGTTTGTGAAATTTTTTTTAAATAATTTAATAAAAACTTTAATAAAAGATTTAAACAGATAGATTGATAAAATTTAATGTAAAAATTAATAATATGTAAAAAAATTATTAAAAAAATTATTTTTAATTAAAATTTCATCAATATTTACTTAACGATAAAAATTATATTAATATTTTTACTAACAATATTTATTTAAAAAAATATACCAAATTTTCTTAAAATTTTTTAAATTTTATATACTCGATTTATATAACAAAATCTTTCAATATATTATTTTTAATTTTTAATTTTAATTTTAATTTAATTATTTTTAGTAATAAATTTCATGAATTTCATCTAAAAAATTTTATCTAAGTCTTTCCCACGAATTCAACACACAAAAGGAAAGAAAGGAAATCAAAAAAGGGAAAGGGCTAGAGTCGGTTATGATCACATCCCAGCCATAATTTAAAAAAAAAAAAAAGAAAAGAAAAGCTAATTCATATATTTCAAACATGTAAAAATAAATTAGTCAAAACTGTTTAATCCACGTCATAGAAAAAAAATTCGTGCATAACATCCATAATCTTGTTTGAAAAAGGCAGAGAAGTTAAAATTAGCTAGATTGGTGTATTAGGGAAAATTTGTAAGTATTTCTTTTTTTTTTTTTTATAAAAGAGACCAAGGGATACGAAGAATTAAAGAATTTTAAATGGTAAATATCAAATTTTAAACTCTTAATCTTGCGATGATTATCCTAATTAACAGCTACTAACACAATCCACATGTGAATCACAAATCTCTTGAAACAATGCCCTTTCGTATTTTTTTTTTCTTTTCTATATTTTCATCTTCATCTTCCTATATAAAACTTTATGTAAACTTTAAGTAAGATAAAACTTAATTAGATGAAATTTTTTAAATGAAATTTATAAAATTTTTTATTAAAAATAATTTAATAAAATCCTTAATTAAAAATTCAAATAGCTAAATTTATAAACTCAATAATAAGATTAATAATATATAAAAAATTATTTAAAATACTATTTATAATTCAATTTTTATCAAAATTTTTTAATAAAAATAACTATCTAAAAATATATTAAAAATTAATTAAAATTTTTAAATTTTACACATTTAATCTATTATGTAATAAAAATTCTCAATCTATCAACTTAGATTTTCAATTTGAATTTTTTTAACAATAAACTTCATAAAACTCATTTAAGTAATTTCATCTTTTCCTTCTAAACATAAGCTGTTTCCTACGTTCATTAAAGTAAGAAAACTTGCATTACTTTCTATTACATTGATATATGTGCATGATCTTCCCACTACTTAAAAAAAAAAAAAGAAAAAAAAAAAAGGGAAAATTTTGTAAACAGTAAGCTTAATAACTATTCAATCCGAGATGGAGTGAGAAGTTTATACGATCCATAGCTTTTATTGATACTAGAACTGTGGCGACGGGAAGGGCTGCAAAGGATTAATGGACGGTATGCAAAGCCGCAAACAGGACTTATGTCTTCTCCACTGTCCATCTCCGCCAAAACTTTGTAGAACAAATCAACATCGCATGGAAGCAAAAGGGGACCTTCACTGCTGAACCCGTATTCAAGTGCAGCGTCTTCTAGCAACATCTTGAATAATGGGTGGTTGGCGAAGTCGGTCTTGATCACGAATTTTTGTCTTTGGGGTCCGACATAGACATAAAAGCATCCTTGTGGAGCTACCAGACACTTCTTTTTCCCGTTATCTTCTTCCAGGGAAGATGATCTTCTTGAGCAGTACCATGGCTTGCTCTTTTTCAATGCGTCACAAGAAGTTCCTGATGACTTGTTGATGACAGTGCTTCCAAGCGAGCAACATCTGTCCCAGGCCCTGACGAGCACGCTTTTCTTCCATTTCATCTTCACAACATCCATTCACAAGAGGAGCCTGTATTGATCAACCCTTGACCCTCTTTTCCTTTGGCCTGTTTCTGCGATCTTTCACGAAATTGAACTGAACCTGAAAACAAAGAAAAAGAGATACGAGGTTAAGGGCAGAAGAAGACAGCACGAGATACGCTTTTTATAGAGTGGATAATCATCATCACAAAGCTAGCCCTGGCGAGAGTAGGCACTGTTATATAGCCCAATACCCCATATACAAACTCCTGCAAATAATATTGCACTTGTCAACGCATGCAAAAACGTTGCTGGATTTTGAATATAAATTGTTTAAATTAACAAGGTCAATATGAATGACAATAGAAGCCACTTGCTTGTGTCTCCATCAACTCCCCTCCCTCCTAGTGTACAAATAAAATAACAAATACAAATTAATTCAAACATGAACTGAACATATAATAAAATAATAATAAAACAACTAATTAAATTTTTAAAAAATGAGAAGATGTGTTGAGGGCAGAACTTTACAATTCTAATATTTATGGCATGTCTGTTTTGTACTAAATACATATAAAATATAAAAATTATTATATTAAAATTCATATCAACACATCAAATATAAAACATATTTTTAATATTTGCTAAACTAATATATTATTTTTATCAATTTTAAATTATATCACTTTTATTTTTGTATTATATTTAAAATTAACTGTCAAACTTGAGAGCTTAGTCCATGGAGGACAAAAAATAGAAACCTGTTGAGAGATAAGCCTTTTGTTGGCATTGGGTGATACATTGTTGTTAATTGTCATTAGCACAAGGACAGAGACATTGTAAATTGGCCGTAGGTAAGGAGACTTTCTTGCAAGTCTTCAATTCACCTTTTCCAAATTTTTTCCAAACTATGTGTTTGGAAAGGAAAGTTTGAAAGAAAAAAAAGTAAGATACGTAATGCTGTGGGGCACGGGTTAATTATTTTTGTGATGACTGATGACAGCTCCTTCCATCTATGTACTAAGCTAATTGGTAAGACTAATTCTACATTATCTTACACCAGGTTTCAATTATGATGTTGTCCAAAAAGATAAATATATATATATATATATTTTTCATCACCTAATTATGATGTCCCGCTGATGTGGATTGCTGTAATCCCACGCCCTGGTTTTATGCATGGGAAATTTAATCAGATTCTTTCTGTCAACAAGTTTTTTTTGCAAACTTTTTGATAATTTTTGTACAGTAATTTGAATTTTAAATTTATCGATAATTATATAAATCAATTGAATTTTAAAAAATTATTTAATTATTTAAAATTAACGTAGTTTAATTTATTGACTTGGGGTATGTAGTTTAACTTGTTCTTTTTGTGCATTTCACATCTGGTTTTCCCATTTTATTTCTTCATTCCAATCCGATTATACAGATGATACCTTCACCATATAGTGACTTCCAAGTATACAAGTTGACAAGAAGCAAACAAAAGAAATTAAAGAAATTGAAGGTGGCTGCTATAGTAATCGCATTGTTGGTGGAGCATAGAAAATTAATTAATACTAGCAACTAGCTTTATTTTTGGCTTCAGGAAGATTGCATGAATGGGTTAAATTCCCATAAATTCTTCTAATCCCTTTCTTTCTTTCTCTACAACTTAACTTCTTGCATTCACTCGCCGCAGTTCTTGATTATTTTTTTTTATATTTAAAGTTGTAAAAATTTAATATTTAATCATTAAAATTAAAAATTCAACATTTTATTGATAAGTTAGGTGACTGTTTGTTTTCTTTGACTTCTTGAAAGCTTAATTTCTTGAAGTAGATAAACAAATATCAAGACTTATTTTTCCATTTTCTCTTATAAGAGCTCCTTTTTAGTCAAGTGTTTGATTCAATTATTGAAAATTTTCACCGTTTTTCTTACAAATAGTTTGGTTTTAAAAACAGATAATTAGTTGATCAATGAAATAAGAGTTCAATAATATTAGAATCGATTTCAAAACTGAAAATTTCGAATTAAATCTCATCGTAATCTAAAAGAAAAAAAAAGGTATCAATAATTACATTTTGAGCATTTCACTTTCTAATCAATTTAAAAGAACTTGACATTAATAAATGTCACTTGCAAATAGTGAATTTCAACTATAAACTATAATTTATTACTGGAGTTTAAAAAAAAAATGTAGACTATTATAGCTTAGAACATACATTTAAAAAATAAAGTCACTTGCAAATAGTGAATTTCAACTATCAACTATAATTTATTGCTGAATTTAAAAAAAAAAATGTAGACTATTATAGCTTAGTACTTCATTTAAAAAATTTGTGCATGAACTTGAAGTCAATGGCATTTTTGTGAAATGGAAATTTGATCTCACAACAGTTGGGAAAAGCCAAGAACATTGGACCAGAAGCATCTTTTTGGTTGCCTGAATTTTCCTAAACTAGGGGCAGATTTCTGAAAGTAAGATGGATGAAGACATTTACTTTATTTTATTTTATTTTTTGGGCAAACATGGAGGAAAAATAAACCATCCATTCCCATTATGCATACTTGAATTTCCTTTTCCATAGGTTTGGACACGGCCCACCTCGTAATCATTACCTCAACAAGTCAAATCAATTTTTTATTGGATATTATCATATATTAAATTGAATAATTTAAAACACACGTTACATTACATCATATAAATATGATATAAAAAATAATATATAAAATAATTTAGTTTAAATTTTTAATAATTATTATATATAAATTTAATAAAATAAAAAATATATTTTATATTTTTATATTAAAATAATTTATAATTTTCATATAAAATATAATATGAAAATAATATAAATCACGGCAAATACTAATCCAACTTACTAAAATTAAGTATTAAAAGTATAATTAATTTATTTAATTTGGACTGTAGCCAAGTAAGCAGTTCAACTTTGCATAAATTATTATTTATTGGTTTAATCTGCTTAATTCGTTAGTATTGGCCAATGAGAGAATTTGGATTTGAATATTACTGATTTTTGTTGATATTATCTAAAACGTAAATCTCTTCAATAAATGAGTCAGAGAATCGCACATTTACGTAGTAATATTCGGATTAAGATGACCTATTTGTTTTGAATTTTGTAACAAAACAAGCGAAAATAATATCTTCAATGTGTGTATAACCATGAAAGTCAAAGCTAATGAACAAAAAATATTATAATTAAAAATATTAAATTGAATTCAATTGATTTATAAATTTATTTAAAAAATAATATTTAATATATTTAGATTTTAATTTTAATACTAACAATAATTTTTTTATCCTTAGATTGCTTTTGATTTTTGGCTGCGGCCTTAGGATTTCCTCATGTGAGAAATAACCTACCTATATGGGTCAATATTGAACTTTATGATTATACTTTAATTTTGTTAAATTTGTCATTGTATTTTTAATTTTATTATTTTTTAATATAAATTAACGTAATGGATTAAATTTTGTCATTTACATAGTTTAATTCTCTGTGAAATATTTTATTTTTATTATTTTTATCAAAAAATAATGAAATGGAATTTTAACTTACCTTCATTCTCTTATTTCTATTTGTATAATTTGAAAAAAATATTACGTGCTTAAATTTTTTCAATTCATAATTTTCAAAATTTTGATCAACATTTATGTAATATGAACTAATGTATAGTTGTTGCTGCTAATATTAAGTAATTGTAATATAAAATTAATGAGATACATTTAATTAATTAATTAATAGAATTCAACAATAGTCTAGAAAGCATGCCAATTCAAACTCCTTAAAAAAAATGCTATAAACAAACAATATGGTCCTAAATTCTAATACAAGTATATAAAATAATATTACAGACAAACAATAGAGTTCTAAATTCTAAAACAAGTATATAAAATAATAATATATGCTACTTACTACATAATTTTTGTTGTTTTTATGAATGTTGGCACGTTGCATTCATAAATAATATCTAAAAAAAAAAAAATACTATCATGTTGATTATCCGAAGTAGTGTATAATTTGTCTTTTTCTTATACATCATCTTTTAAATTTTATAAGTAAAATTAGAATAAAGTCTCATGCCTTATTATTTATCATATTAATTTATTAATTTTAATAAATAATTCCAATAAAATATGTGATGACCCTTTAAATTCATTGATGAAATTTTAAATTTTAACTTAATTTATATTAAATATATATTTTTTTTGAAGAGTTCCTCGTGCCTTATTGCTGCCGTAGGCCCATAACAAGAGTGGGCAAGATCCGTTTATTTCTAGGTTTTAAGTGGGGCAGTGAGATGGGCCTAAGTGGAAGGCCCGAATATAGTATCTCATATATGACACGCTGGGCTCTCGCTCAGTATACAATTGCATGTATTTGCCATGCCGACATCATATGTATAATAATAAGGAATTTAGTAATTTGGTATATTTTTATTGTATAAAAAAATAATTTATTTATATTGATATAAAAAATAAAATATATTCTTTATTTTTATTAAAATTTTAATTCATGTAATTTTTTCTTAAGTCATGCATATGTATTAATCTTTTTTTTTTCAAAGCAATTATTAATTAAACTTAATAATTGTATTAAGTTTGAGTTCTTGAAAATATAAAATGCTTGAGAATTTTTCATCCTCATGAATCTAAAATTCTTATGAACATGAATTTCTTGCAAATTTGAATCTCTTGCGAATTTTTGAAACCTGAGTTTCTTGTAAATTTTTGAATTTCTTGCGAACCTAAATCTCCTGTAAATCTTTGAAATTCTTGCAAATCTAGGTTATTGTGAATATAAAAATCTTACGAATCTTTCATTCTTGCAAATCTAAAAAGGTTGTGAATTTACAACCTTTGCGAATTTTGAAATCTTGCGAATTTGAAATCTCTGTGGAACATGAAATCTTTGTGAATCTAAAACCTCTTAGAATCTTGAATCATTTAAAAACTTTTGAAATCTTTGCAAATTTTGAAATTCTTGCGAATCTAAAAACCTTTGCGAATTTTAAATCTTTATGAATTTTGAAATCATAACAAATTTTTTGTGAACCTTGGAGTTTTAAAATCTTTCAATTTTGAAAACCTTGTAAATCTTCGAAGTTTTATAATAAACTTTTAAATTTTGAAATTGTGAATTTTTAGATTTCAAATTAAAAATTTTTAGTTTATTTGGACTCCAACAAAAGGGACGAGGAGAATATTTTTCAAATTTAAAATTGTGAAGGCTTTCATTTTATAGGATTTTTTTTCTCAAAGACATCCGAAGATGATTTATAAGATCTTAGGGCATGATCTTTAAAAATTTATGGATTGGTTAATCTCCTATCTTGATTTAGACTTAGACCTAGTCATTTTTAACCTTTACTCAATTCAGGTCATTTATTTTTCTAACTTGCAGTTCAGTTTTGGTCACTTATTTTTTACTTCAACTCAGTCCAAGTCATTTTATTTTTTTGACCTGCGGTTCAATTTCGATCATTCATTTTTTATCTTGACTAAGTCTAAGTTATTTTATTTTTCTAACTTGCGATTCAATCTCGTCACTCATCCTCGATCTTGGTTTACTCTAGATCATTTATTTTTCTTGCCTGTGGTTCAATTCCAATTAATTAACTTCAATATTTGCTCAGTTTAGATCATTCATTTTTTTAATTTACGATTTAGTCCCGATCATTTTTATTTTTATATGATTTGATCACTTTTGACTTTGGCTTAGTACGATCATTTTTGCATTCTAATTTGATTTAACACAAGTAATTTTAATTTTTGAACTCAGACGTAATGGTTGTATATGTCTTTGCATCATTTTTGTTTTACAGGAATGTGCAAAAAGAGACAACTGTAGACATCCTATTTAGTCTAGGGCTCAAACTGATTGGGTCTAGATCTGATCTAAGCCCAATTATCCAATTTCTTACATTTATTTTTTTTATCTTGTTTGTCTTATTTATGTATTTATCTTTTTTTTATGTTTTAGTCTTCTATTTATTTGGTTTTAAAATTTTATCATAAGTCATGCCAATGAAACTTGTGAAGTAATTTGAGCACTAATCAAGAATGATCTTGACAATTAAAACTAAAATATGATCTCTTCAAATATTAAAAAAAGGTTAGAAAGAAATCAAATCAGGGAATCAAAGTTAGATTTAATTGGAAAATTTTTTAGAGATTCTTAAAATTAAGGAAAATCGAGACAATTTTAAAAATTAATTAAACCAATTTTTAATTAGAATAAAAAAATCAATTCAAAGCATAATCAGATTTGTAATCTTTTTTCATTCAATGCAAATCCCTAAATTTCCTAGCAAAATACCTTATATAAACATTAATCAACCACACAACACAAACAAAAAAAAAAAAGGAAAAGCCTACTAGAAAATGAATAAATAGTAATCTATATTCAAACTCTTTAGTTGGAATTGGTGGCAGAGCTATTTGGTTGGAATTGTGACTATCTGCCATTACAAATTAAGGGATACTTCCATCTAAGCATGTCTCCATTCATTGAGAGCTCTTTTGTTGAAATTAGTGACTATTTGCTACTACAGATCAAGGGATACTTCCACCTAGGCGTGTCTCCATCCATTAAGGTAATTTTCTCATTTGTTTATTTATATATTTATTCATTTATTTCACTTTTTTTTATGAATGTATAAAATGAAATTTAAAGATTGTGAGTTTTAAATTATGAATTTTTTATTTCATGGGTTTAGAAATTTTAAATTATGAATTATACTAAACTATTTGAGAAATTCATAATGATTTTTTTTAAATAATAAAATTTCAATTCTACTAAACTATTGGAGGATTTAAATTTTGAATTAAATCTTATCAAAGTTTTAAAGGACTTAATGAATTTTTAAAAATAATAATAATAAAATTTTTAATTTTACTAAATTATTGAAGGATTTAAATATTGAATTAAGTCTTATCAAACTATTTGATGATTTTAATGAATTTTTTAATAATAATAATAATAATAATTTTAATCCTACCAAATTATTGGAGGATTTAAATCTTGAATTAATTTTTACCAAACTATTAGAGGACTTAATGAATTTTTAAAAATAATAATAATAAAATTTTTAATTCTACCAAACTATTAGAGAATTTAAATATTGAATTAGATCTTACCAAACTATTCGGAGATCTGTAAATCTTACCAAATTATTAAAAGATTTTACTAATTATTTCTTTAAATAAAATTTAAATAAATTTGATGACGAAGTATCTTCAGAGTAGGACATTAATCTTCCTAAATACTCCTAAAGTGAGAAAATTATCTTAAATTACTATCAAATTATTTGATTAATTTTAGGATTAATTTTCAACAATTAAGTTATTTGGTAAATTATAAAGATGTTTTTAGGCTTGAATAATTTGAAATCAAACCAATACCATCATTTAGATGGGCGTTGTGAGGGTAATATAACATTCTCATGCGTAATCATACTCTCCAACTTAAATCTAATTTCATATACTAGAATTTACTATTTAAAGATAGTTAAGTAAAGCTTTAGACTTCTCTTTAAAATATGACAAATTCAGTTAGGTGTCCAATCGTATCTAAATAAAAAAGTTGGTGGTGATTCCTAAAATTTATGTGTAGCGATAGGTCAATAGATTTATATGTTAGGACAATAAGAATTTGACAAGCTTTATAAATTGAGAGTAATTTATGTAAAAAATTATAATGGATTATTAATTATTTGTGTAATATGTCTTTTTATTTTGAAAAGTTTATATAGTATTTTGAAAATTTCATGAAAGACAATAAATTATACCAAATGTAATTAATACTTATATAGAAAGACATATGAAAATATGTTTCCAACTTTAGACTTTTATTTTAGGTTAGAATTTTTAGCATTATATGCCTTTTATATTCATTTAAGTTGAGAAATACATAAAATATTTCTTAATTAAATACTAAAATCATTATTATTAAATGTCAATACTTTCAAAACATATTTCTTATTTATAGTATACATTTTTTATGTTTAAAATTAAGAATGTTTAAGATAATTTAATTGTAACACATTTATAAAAGGCAAGAATATTGAATATTTATAAGAAAATAAATAACTTAATTTAGTCAAATAAATATATTTTAAATTAATAAAATGTATATGAAATCAAATCAAAATAATTAAATGTAAGACATGTGACAATTGTTCAAAACAATCAACATGTAAAAAAATATATGTCCACATTAGATTTTTTTATCAAAAATTTTAATTTTTATAAATTTATATAAGATGAGATGAATGATTTATTGATCACAACCCATATATATAAAATCCAACATTATAATGCATGATTAATTTTACAATAAAAACAAAAATCTAACATTATAATATATCATTGATCTTATATAAATATATAAAATTATAATATTACTTATATATATTTATATATGAATAACATCTATTACTCAATGGTATATTATATTTAATCAAATATAAATATATCAAATAATTAATTAAGGAATCAACTCTTAACTGTAATTATTGTGGTTACTAAATTTTATATAATATTTTATATTAGATTTTAATAGAAGTTCTTTGAATCATTAAAAAAAATTTATAATCATAATTATAATATTTATTAATTTTATGAATTATTAAGAAATTCTTTGATTATAATACATTATTGATTTAGTTTTGATTTATAATTTAAGATATTTTATTATAAATAAAAGGCAAGTTAATTAAAAATTTAAAAGAAAATAAATATAATTAATGTATTAAAATATTTTTAAAATTTTATAAAATCACATCAATTCATATCAAATTTTTAAAAAATAAATAAGAATAAATATAATTAATACATGATATGTGATAATAGATAAAAATTATCCACATGTTAATATTATAAGCTATCCATATTGGATTTTTTTTTGTCAAAAATTTTAACTTTTATATATTTATATAAGATAAGAGAAAGATAATTGAAATTTATGTTTATACCGTGTGTATTTTTAAATAGTTTTAAATTTATATTTAAAAACAAAAAAGGTTATAAATTATTAAATAAATTTTAATGCAGCAATTTTTGAAAAATTGAAATAAAAAATAAATGTGTAAAAAGTGGGAAACTCAAGAGTTTGAGTTTGTTTAATTAATTACCATACAAAGTAAAACATATTTACCAAAGTAAAAGTTAATTAATTGCACCGACTTAGGCTTCGGCTCCACTCCTATAAAGACCAATCAACGGAAAAACAAAAAGAAATTCAAAACATAAACCGTTTGGTCTACAGAATTTCACTCGTTTGGTTGCCTCGATTTCTTCGAATAGAAGCCATCTTCTTGAAGCAAAGTTTCTACTGTTCTTTTTCCGATCCAAGTTTTTGAAAAGAAAAAAAGGGAGAACGAAAGAAAAGTATTCTCCAAAATCTGCATTTTATTTTCTTTCTTTTTTTTTTTTTAACTTTTAAACCTTTTCAAATCTCGCATGCAAAAGCTTCTTAACGAAGAATCTCGAAAATTTTGATCTCTTCTTTCCTTTATTTTGATTTATTTATTTATTTATTTTTAGAATTTCGGTTGTTTTTGATTTGGCGGCCAGACCATGGATGTTCGCGTGAAGCAAGAGATTACGGAAACGTTAAGCACACAAAGACGGATTCTAAATGGTGTTGAACGGGAACAACCTGCCTCGGTAATCGAGCTCAGTAGTAGTAGCAGTGAGTCGGACTCGAGCGATGAGTCGGACGGCCCGGACGAGACGGATAACGCCAATGGCGCCGTTGCTGGAGGGGAAGGACCTGGAAGTAGGGCTTCAAAGAAGAGGAAGGTGAATGACGTTGATTTTGTGCTGCCGCTGGGGTTTTTGTCTCCGTTACCACCGGATGATCCGGCTCCTGTTCTGTTGGACTCTGATATGGCGGTTGCGGAGATTCCCGCGACGGTGGGACCGCCGGAACAGGCGGCAAGTAGGAGTTTGAGTTCGAGGGTGCTTTGCAAGCAGTTTTGGAAGGCTGGAGATTATGATGGAGCTCCATCTTCTGATTGGGATTTATCATCAGGTATTATTGTTAATAATATTATATTATAAGGTATTTTGTTTTATATACATTATATTACTATATATATATTTGTATTTATTTTTGTCTAGATCAATTCTTTTGTTTTCAATCTGTCTCTCTTGTAATTGAGTGATTAATCATGCTTACAAGGGATAGCAAATGTTAATTTGGTGCCAAATTCGGATATTTTGGAGTCTTTGTTGTTTTGAGCAATGTTTTAGCCAGTGAGGTCTCTGCATTTGTAATTTTGCTTTGCTTGAGGAAATATGCTTTAACGCTACCCCTGGCACTCTTTTTTTTTTCCTTGCTTAATTCTTTGTTCTTTATTGGAAATTTAGATTGTTAATTTAATCATGTGGATCCTAAATTATTAATTGTTTGAGCTCTGTTCTTGCTTTGTTTATTGATGCTGTTTAATGCTTCTGTCCTTAATTTCATTTGAATTGTAGGTGGCATGGATCGTGTCAGGGTTCATCCAAAATTTCTACATTCCAATGCAACGAGTCATAAATGGGCTCTTGGAGGTAGGGTTGTCTAACCCATATACATATCTTTTCTATGAATTTTAGATATTCCAGTGGGTAGAAGACAAGCTTTTGTCTCTTGTTAAAGTTTTCTTGTTCTTTTGGCTATGTTTATTAATTTTACTTCTGCAGCTTTTGCTGAACTTTTGGACAACTCTTTGGACGAGGTATTTGACGCCACCACTTTTTCAATTGTGTAATACTTGTGGTTTTTTTTTTTTTTTTCCAATTTTATGTTCATTTTCTGATTTCAGGTCTGCAATGGAGCTACATATGTTAATTTAGACATGATCAAAAGTAAGAAGGATGGGAATTTAATGTTGCTAATTGAAGGTATTGTGTTTCATAGATATACATTTTTGTTTGTTTTGGTTATTCTGGCTTGTGTCCGTTGTTCAAATAGGTTTTTCACCCTCTTTAATGATGTTTTGTGTATCTCAACAAAATGATGTTTTATGTAAAATAAGTATTACATATTTCTATGGTCTTCAAAGAACCAAGTTGTTGTGTTGATAACATGATAAGTTTTGGAAGTTTATTGCAGATAATGGTGGAGGGATGGATCCTGATAAAATGCGTCAGTGCATGTCTCTTGGATATTCTGCAAAAAGCAAAGTAGCAAACACCATTGGACAATGTATTTAGTAATTTCTACCCTTTGGAAAAGAAAGATAGTTTATAGTTGCTTACTTGTATTTCACATAGAGCATTTTATACTTGTATTCTTTTCTACAGATGGCAATGGATTCAAGACTAGTACCATGAGGCTTGGTGCAGATGTTATTGTGTTTTCTCGGTGTTGTGGAAAAGATGGAAAACAGTTAGTCTTTCATAATTCTTTTTTTGAGCTAGAATGATTGTTGTTAATGCAAATATTCAATTTTTTACAATAGTGCCCTTGATTGCTGAATTAAATGTTTATTTTTATTGGATTGTTTGGTAGGAAAACAAGAAGTTTTTGGCAGTCTGCATGTTGTTTAAGTAAATGTGTAATTTGTTTGCTTGGGAATGTTTTATGTTAGACCAAGAAATGCATTGTTGTAACTGGGTTGACTGGGTTTTGGTAATAATCTTCACCCTTAGTAACTCCCTCTCCCTACTGGCACTAACACGTTGTAGCAGTGCCAGTAATTAGGGATGTATCGGTAGCTTATAGGCAATGTAAAATGTTCCAAAGTTATCATGCTGCGTCAAACAAAGGGAACGGGTTCCTAAATCCTTGTGATGATGTTTGTCTGTTTGAGCTTCACGCTTATCTGCTATCTTTACTCTATTTTATGCTTTTGTTTTTTTATTTTTACATCCCAGAACTACCTTTTCTTCTTTTTGTTTTTGTTACTGCAAAAGGTAATCAAATTCTCTGGTGTTGTTTTAGCCTCACACAGAGCATTGGGCTGCTCTCCTACACGTTTTTGACAAGCACAGCAAAGGAAGACATTGTGGTACCCATGGTAATGTCAACTAGAACTTTGTATTGTCTGTGTGATGAATATTCTGGTAGTAACTATCATTTGCATTCAGAATGGGTGTGCAAACACAACATAATCACTATACATTTTAGAGCCCAGTTGATGTAGGTTCAATGACATAGAATTACACTTGTTTCTCAGGCGCAACTTATGCTTTTAGCAACATGCAAGCTTGAGAGAATGTTAAGATTTGTCTTTGGTCTTTTTTTTTCTCTGTCCTTTCCCCTAAAGCATCTCATTTTCATAGCTACTAGATATTCTGTGCTTAAGCCAAGTATTTGCTGTTTATTTGCCCAATGTAATCCATGCTTGGAATCATTATTTAGTTCAGGATAGAAAAAGAAAAAGAGAATTGGGGGATCAAGTTTGATATCATATTTCTCTGTTACTTATATATCTGGTAAGCTACTTGAGAAACTATGCTATGGTTGTGCCCTTTAATCATTGTGTGGATTGGAATGAACAGCTAGATTATGAATGGAAACAAAGAAAATGGAACAAGATCGTACGATCTACTGCCAGTGATTGGGATAGGAATTTGGAAACTATAGTACAGTGGTCTCCATTTTCCAGTGAAATGGACCTCCTTCGTCAGGTATCTGACTTTTCTTCACTTTTGGTTTGCACTGTTATCAATGTATTCCCCTGGTGTCATCATCTCATTTTCCATTGTTTTGCTAGTTATCAATTTTCTGCTTGTCTATTAAGCTTGAATCTTCATTATGCTTTGGGCTGTTGTTTTGTTTGATTATGGTAAAATGTTTCCTTTTCCTCCTTGTAGTTCAATCTGATGAAAGACCATGGTACACGGATTATTATATATAATCTCTGGGAGGATGATGAAGGGCTATTGGAACTTGATTTTCATGGTGATCCACATGTATGTATCAGATGTCCTGGATTATTATTTTTTTACTATTTAAAATTTTAAACGTTAACAGAATATAATGTATTTGTGATGGTAAATTTTGATGAATTATTGTTGGCAGGATATCCAACTTAGAGGTGTTAACCGTGATGAGAAGAATATACAAATGGCAAAAGAGTTTCCCAACTCTAGGCATTTTCTGACTTATAAACATTCATTGAGGGTAACAATGATCATTTTACAGTTTCTATGGAAGAAATTAGATTTTTACCCTTGATAATGGCTGTTTGTGTTTTATGATGCCTTAGCTGTGAGTTAGATTGTTATGCAGCCATATCCAAAATTTTAACTTTTTACTAATGTCAATGGAAAGGAAATGTATATTATGTTGAAATCTAAAATAAACAAGAGGAAGGATAAAATGAAGGAAAATAGAACGACAATAACAGAACAACTAACTTGTTTAGGGCTTGTTTTGTTCTGTAAAATGTTTTTCATTTACCATCCTCACTTTTACACTAGATATGATCTATCAAATTATATAAATAACTAAACTTGAGAGGCCTTGTTTTCTAGCTTTACAGGAAACTTGAGCAATTTCAAATAGTTGTCGAGTTTTCAAGAAAATTGGAAAACATGGGATTCAAAGTTTAGTTATTTACTTAATTTTATATAGAATAAAAATGATGGAAAATGGAAAAGATTTTCTGAGACTAAACTCGTAATTAGTTGTATCTTGGTTCAAGCAAGGTGGAAGATTTTAAAATTCTGGATGCTTTACTTGGTTTGTACTGATTAGATGCTTAGCCTGAAGTAGCAACTTTTTTTTTTTTGCTTATTTTATTTGATTTTTAGTTTATTTTGTGTGTTCACTCTGCAGAGTTATGCATCAATACTTTATTTGAGACTTCCTCCTAACTTCAGAATCATTTTACGTGGGAAAGATGTCGAGCACCACAACATAGTTAATGATATGATGCTCACTGAGATGATAACATATCGACCAAATCCCAGTGCTGAGGGGGCCCCTAAGGATTTGAATGTAATAAATATTACTTTTCTGTTCTATTTACTTCACTGTATTCTTGTCTGATACTGTTTTCTGGCATTTCTGTCAACAGCTGGCTGCTTTGGTGATTATTGGTTTTGTGAAAGATGCCAAATATCACATTGATGTTCAAGGTTTCAATGTTTATCACAAAAACCGACTCATCAAGGTTTGCTTTTTATTTGCTTTGAATGTAATGTGTCACAAGGATTGCTAATAAATATTCTTTTCATATCGTGCTCATTTCTAATTTGCACCATGTTTTCTTTCTTGCATTTTCCATTATACGGGTCCTCCATTCCTGGGTAAGATGTTGGCTTGATTTTGGAGAAAAAAAAAGAAAAGACTTATCACTCTTTTCTGGCAGCTTAATTTATTCTTCTCTGAATATGTTAGAATTATTACATGTAGCTAGATATTGCCATTGCTTCTTTGGTGAGTTGACACTAGTTGTTTAAGATAAAGCCAGAGGCATATGTTTTTGCTTTCAATGAATTGAAACTTGAAGTTATTTCTTCATTGGAATTACATTTCTTTCCTTAGTTGACTTATTGTTTGTTGATACAGTTTGAGGGTTAATTTTGCTTGGGAAACAGTACTTGTTGCCTTCTATTCTGTATGAAATGCTAGTTCTTCTGGTTATTGTATGTTATAGGATTCTTTTGCGAATTGTTTCACTTTCATTTTTAAGTAGTGCATCCTGTGACAGCATCTTTTGCACTTTGCCTAACATACTAGTCAAATTGACCTTCAATATATTTTCTTTTTACAATGTTCTTGCCTAATGCCTTCTTTCATCCGCTTCTCCAGCCTTTTTGGAGGGTTTGGAATGCAGCTGGGAGTGATGGTCGTGGTGTTATAGGTATTGTTTCAGCATTAGATATGCCTAGTTAGTTTACTGGTTTATATTCTAATTCACTCTATTCTTATGACAGGTGTTTTAGAGGCTAATTTTGTTGAGCCAGCTCATGATAAGCAAGGTTTTGAGCGTACAACAGTTCTTGCAAGACTTGAAGCACGACTAGTACAAATGCAAAAAGCTTACTGGTTTGTTGTTCAATTCTAGATATACCATTGGTGTTGATGTTATATTTGCTTTTAACTGCCACTTCTGGATCCAGGAGTTGTTTCCTTATTAACTCATTTCTAATGATCTTTGACTGCTTCATTTTAGGTCCACCAATTGTCATAGAATTGGCTATGCTCAACGGCGTAACAAGAAAAATATAGAGCAGTCTTTGGGCAGAGGTATTTGACCTGTTCTCTTATTTCTATTTCTTTCTATCTTTTCTTTTAAAAGTTATGTATTGTTGTGAATGGTGAACTGTAAGCCACTCCCTTATTGATCTATCACATGCATCTTGATCCGGTAGATACTTCGCCTGATCATGATACACAAAAATCTACACAATTGAATAAGAAGAGTACTTCTAGCAGCAAGCGACTCTCTTCAGACTCAGACAAGTTGTATTCACCCTCAAATTGGAAAAAAAGAGGCAAAGAATATCAGAAATTTCCTGAAACAGTGGATGGTGGATATGGGAATGGACATGTATCTCGCAGGGGTGATTATAGGAAAAGGGCTTCATTAGATAACAGTTCAAAGGACCTCAGAAAATCGGGAAAAAGATTAAGCTCATTTGAACCATCTTCCCCTTCTGCAGAGCATGCCAGTGATGATGTGTGTGAGGTCTTGCCTGAGACACAAGCTAATGGCAGCAATCAACGGTCTAAATCAAAGGTTATTTTTATGCTTTGCTTATCTTACATTTCCCATTTGCATTTTATTTTTTACCTCATTGCGAATGTTACTTTTGCACCACTTTTAAACTCCTGTCTTTCGGGGTTGGTTGGAGATTTTTCATAAAGCATAAAGCTGAGCTGAAATTTGCAGTCCTGCAAGATGGTATTTTTAATCCGGTCATTGAAATAAGCAGATCTATATGCTTGGGAAAAATAATTTATTGTGGGTTGCTAAATGGGTGCTGGTTTTACTTTGTTATTGGAAAATATTAATGCTTCCTTTCGATGGCTGGTGGGAAGGATTCCTACTGTGCTATCATGTCGATTCCAGACTGGACCCTTAGATGCAACTCATTGTTGTTTTGGGACAGATCGTTCTAGCCCATTGCACTGATAAGTAATTAATTGATAAGTCTTAGATGCAACTCATTGTTGGTTGGAACTCATGAATAAGTTACATGTCCCCCTATCCCCTCTCTTTTTTATATGTGCATGCATGCAAGTTATTTTTGTGTTGAAGCAGTTTCTTGTCTGGAACAAATGATCTTTCTGCACCGTTTTGTGTATGTGTGTGTGTTTTTGGTAATCATTTTTGTTCAAGCGGCAGGAGCATGGTCTAAATGATGGTGAGCCTTCACTTACAGAGACCAATTTATGTATACTGGAGCAGTTGAAGCAGGAGAATTGTGAATTAAAAGAAAGGTGTTTTTAAAACCATATATATTAGGCTTTATGGGTTTTGCTATGACCTTGACTCTAGTCTAAAAGATCTTATTCTTTTTTGTAGACTAAAGAAATACGAGGGAGAACATCAAAGTGAATTGCTCAATGATTTGCAGAAGGAAAGAAACCGGTGCAAATCACTTGAAACTGAGGTATGATCCCTTCTCCAACTAGCTTAAGTAAATGCAAGGAATAATGAGAATATAAATGACATTACATCAGTTTGTGATGTACTTGATAGTTTGCTTGTATTATTGCTTTGTGGTTAGCATGGAGACATGCTTTAGTAAAGTGTGAGAGTAATTGCCATTTTTATCTTGACATCAATGCCTTTATGAATGTTATCGATAAAACTTATTTTTACTGGGATGTTACACTTGAAACTGAGGTATGATCCCTTCTCCAACTAGCTTAAGTAAATGCAAGGAATAATGCGAATATAAATGACATTACATCAGTTTGTGATGTACTTGATAGTTTGCTTGTATTATTGCTTTGTGGTTAGCATGGAGACATGCTTTAGTAAAGTGTGAGAGTAATTGCCATTTTTATCTTGACATCAATGCCTTTATGAATGTTATCGATAAAACTTATTTTTACTGGGATGTTACACTTATTTTGATTTCTTTCTTTCTTCTAATTTTATTAGCTGAAAGCGGCACAGAAAAAAATCGAGCAACTGAACATTGAACAAGAAAGTCTCATTAATATATTCTCAGAGGAGAGGGATCGAAGAGACAAGGAGGAAGAGAACTTGAGGAAGAAGCTAAAGGTTATATTCTGTCCTCCCACTTTCTATTGTAGTTCTTGCATATATTTTCTCATTTGAAGCTATCTTCTTCCCATCCAATTTTCTTCTTAGAATTTACTTAAGAAAGAAGCTAAAGGTTTCATGCTAGGCTCCCTTCTCTTCCCCCACCTCTCTGATGGCTAAAAACACTTACATTTTGCAACTTCTTTTCTCTATATTTTGGATTTATTTTTTATTTGATTAGTTTTTTCATTTTCTCAACTCATCAATATTGTGAATGGTTGGCACTGTAGGACGCATCTACTACCATCCAAGAGTTACTTGACAAAGTTAAGTTGCTGGAGAAGATGAAATCTTCCAACTTCAAGCCTGAACGTCGATAGCCCTTTATAGCTTTAGTTTTGGTGGCGACGCATTTTCCCTTTTCGCTAGCAAGCAACCAGAAATGATTCATTGCAGTCTTCGGATCAACAGCAATTCTTTTTGTAATTTTGTCTCGCTATTCTCACTTCTCTGACATGAGTAGAAATTAAGTATCATTGTACATGCTTCTGTTAGTGCTAGTGACTCGTCGTCATATCGGTGGATGTGATTAGTGGGTAATGTAAACATAGAAATTCTGAGGGCTTGCGTAGATGTCCTAGTCGTTTTTAAATTTTTAACTTAATCGTTGTTTATTCCTTGTATTGGTATAGGATTGTATAAATTGTAAATGTCGTATAAGATTGTGTATAATATCTTGAGATAATCCACGACTCTGAAGTTTCAACTATATTCGACTAAATGTGTACCACAAAGGACGCATGGTAGTAGTGTCTCTCGGTCCATAAAATTGGTTTATTGGGATGTGTATCGATAGCGATGTCTATTCGAATGTGATTTTTTTCTCTATTCGAAATGTGATTTAATTACTTTATTTATTCTTTGAGCACTTAGTGTGATATTTTCGAACAAATTTTGTGTCTAGATGTCTTGTTAAATGATTAAATTGATTCATTTTATTTATTTTACTGAGACGTTTGGTGTGAAAACGTTTGGTTTAGTGTGAATTAAGGATTGGTTTTGATATTATTTATCACGTTACTATTATTTTTTCTTGTAAAATTAATTTATTAAAATGGGCACCATCAATTTTTTATATATCAACTTTTATTTTCTTATCGGAGATGGAAGCATTTGTCTACTCCATCTGAACAATTGGGCGTGACAGTAATACTCGGTTAAAGGCCGAGGGTAACAGCTGGAGCAGCGACAGGGGTTTCGCTGCTAGCGGAAAGCCCTTTCTCTCTCTACCGAATGTTTTAAGTTTGACCAGTGTGTCATTGTGTGGTATCCAGGCAAGCTCCAGGACATCCACCTACCTCGACAGCAACATATGTAGGCGCTAGGCAATTGATGACACTCTTCACTCTAAGCTCAAAAGGGGAAAAAACACCGCTCTCTCAAAGAACACCCCAAAACATGGAAAAGCAATAATATTTGGCTAGGAACTGCTACAATAAATCACTTTCTCATCACCTTTTCATTCCTGGTCCCCATAAAATACAATTGTGGAAATCCACTTAACTCCTATACCCTTTCAACCATCTCTTACCCAATTGGTATTTTGACTTTTTTCCTTTCCTTTCCGGTGTTTCATCTTACATCAAACCTTAATTGTTTTCATGTCAAACTGTTTTTCTAATTGGATCATCCCCTTACCCCCTTTTTTGATGATGCAATATTGTTTGTCTATAAATTCTGAATATTTACACCATTATTATAGAAAATAATTTCTCCCTAACTAACCACATAGAAAACTATCCTTTTGCATAATAGAGAATCACATTTTTAATATTTTTAATTTGATTAGCAACATTGCATGTTTATCATAACTTGCATGTATCTAATTAGTAAAGATAAGCTTCAAACGATAATTTAAATTTAAATATACCCTAAAAAATATAATAAAAAAGAGATTGGTTTTTTTTAAATTCCTTATTAAAGACCAATCCTATCAAAAGATTCTCTCCAAACAAAATAACAAATAAAAAATTTGGCCGCACGTGACATTGTCCACTGACCCCACCCGCCCGCACGTCGCCACCTGAAATTATCAAAGTTTTTAACTTTCCCCCCTTTCTCCACAGCCACTCTCAATCCAATCATCCTTTTCATCATCAATTTTTTTTTCATCAACACGCCACGTGCACTTCTAACCATGGTTAAGTTTGATAAACCAATTTCTTTTGCCAGCTTCAAGTTGCCCACTACCTCTTCTCTTTCTCAGTCTCATCTGTATCTCCAAAGGTGATTAAGCATTTTTTGTTTTTCTTTATTTTTATTTTGCATTGAGAAATATATGTTAAAAAAATGGTTGATTGAAGTAAAAATTTGGATGTTAGTTCAATAAATGCGATCGACTTTTTTTGGGATTTTTCTGTTTTGTCATTTATGTCTTTGATGATCTTCTTCTGCAAATTTTGTCGCTTCAAATATACATGTAAAAAAAGGAAATAAATATATAAATATATAACGTAATTCTATCTGCTCTGGTCTCTCTCTGCTTCTCCTCTGCAGCGCTGTTGCATTGTTTGTATACTGTACCGTCTGCTTTGTCGACTGCTCTGTAAATTCCACTACCCTCCCCTTTTCTTTCATTTTTTTAGCCTTTTTTTTTTTTTTTCACTCGGAATCCATTTTCTATGCTATTTTTTGTTGTTTGGGTTTCATTTTCCTTTGCATTGCAAACATTGCTTTCGCTTCTCTCAAGAACTGCCACTCTTAGCACCAAACAAAAATATACTTCCTTTCTTAGGAGACAGGAAAACAAGGAAGAAACCCTCACCAAAAGAAAAAACGTTGAAACGAAAATGGGTTTTGAAAAACTCTTCGTTTTGAGAGAGGTCTAGTGCGAATCGCCGTCGTTTTGAGGTTACTGTTTTGGAGCCTAAGCTTCAGCTCTCCTGAAACCTAGTTGGTTTTTGTAGACTTCTTTTTGGTTCTAGACTTCTAGTCAAAATCTGATTCACCTACTTGTGATCTGACGGTTGTTTTTGAATTTTGATGAATGGGATGTGATGTTCTTCTATATAAATCTTCAACGCTGTTTTTTATGCAGATTTTCCAATATCTGAAACACCCAACAAGCACAAAAACACCATTTGCCACTGGTTTTCTTCCCTGGCGTTTTGATCGTCCCTTCTACTCACGGTTCAACTCACCTGTTTCAAATTCTCCGAGTCCACTCGTTGACCTTTTTTCGACTTGGTTTTCCGAGAGAGAAAAGTTGAAAGATAATCTGATATAGGGTTTCTCTTGTTTTGGTGTGTCATTTTGCTTTCACCGATGAATCGGCGATTCCTTTTGGTACTACCCTCGTTTTCCTTCGCCGTATTATTCCTCTTCCTCGTCGCGCTTTTCTCAGGTGCGTCATTTACATGCATCAGATGCTCTTTTCTATATTGCTTTGTTAGTTTATTATTTTTTTTGTTGGCTTTTTCAAAGTGGATGAGACCTCTCTTTCAGAAGCATGGGGGGTTCTCCATGTTTCTATTTCTCATTTTTTTCCTTTAAAATTCCCTTGTTTTCTTCCTATTTGTCTCTTTCTGTTCATTATTATAGTATAAAAGGGTCTTCTTTAACTAAATTCCTTTCATTTTGTACTCATTTTTTATTTTAATTTTGGGTTTTTAATTCCAGGTCAGGGTAAAAACATCAGTGGTTCATTGGGTTTGAAGCTGATGAGGTTGAGGATCAAGCAAGGGCACAGCACTGTTTCTACGCCACACCGCAAGCTTCTTCGTGGTAAGTAGAAAAACAGAATTGACCCACTTTTTTCTTCATAATAAAATGCCAAAAAAAGTAGGATATGGAATCTTTTATCCTTGGTTTATGTCATTGTTTTCGAATGTGGGGGCTCCCGGGGATGACTGGTTTTTGATTCCAAGATTTTGTATTCAATACCTAAGCGTACGGCTCTAATGTCAGGGGTTACACGTCTGTTCTATTTCTTTGATTTTATTTTTAGTTATGGTTGAAGCTAACGTGCACCGTTTGTTAACCATGGCTGTCGTCTAGCCATTGATGATACAGTTACTGTTTTGATAGTAACTTTCTGATGGGGTCCTAATATCCCATCAAAGTTTTGTCAACCTCTTAGCCTTCTTCGTAATTGAAAGCCTAGTAGTTTTTTTTTTTTTTTAGCGGCAAAAAAAAAAAAGCTTAATGTTTTTAGCCCACCGTGATCGGTGCTGCACTGTGCCTAGTGCGCAGAGCACCATCTTTTTATGGTAGCCTTTAAATCTATTTAATTAATGTATTTGGAGAAAAGTGCTTTTTGAGCTAACTCAATGCTTTGTTTGAATTTTTTTTTTTTTTTTATTTAACGGGGGTTCTCAGGGTTCCCAATTTCGGGTTGGTCTAAACAAGCTTATCGACAGGTCTAGTGAATTGTTAAGAAATTATCTTTCATTGGTTTTAAATAAGCTTATTGATGCGTCTAGTGAATTCTTAAAAAATTATCTTTCATTAGTCTTAAATAAGCTTATTAACGGGTCTAGCAAATTTTTAAAAAATTATCTTTTCACAGTTTTTTAACGGATTGGAACTTAAGCTGCAAAAAGAGGACTATAATTTTTTAAGTCAACAATCCATATTGAATTTTCATTTGCAATAAAGAAAAAAAAGGGTTAGATGAAAAGTTTTAAACTTTAAAGCAATTTGCACTGTGTCCCCCCTTCTACAAAGCCTTTTGGGTCATATTTTGTCTGTTTCTTTGTCCCTACAATTCCTGTGAATCACCCTCCTAAAAAGTGTATTTTGTCTGTAGATGTTTCCCCTTATTGGTTGTTTTGGTGGGTTTTTCACATTATAATTGTTTTGTTTGTTTATTTTGCTTTAAAGAAAAGCGGACCAGTTTTGATTGATAGCTTAGCCTTTCACTATCTGAATTTTAATATAAAAGCCTCTTTGCTTTTGTCTTTTTTCTGCTTTTGTACCCAGGTACAGCAATGGAGGAAACCAACCGAATTTGGGGAGAGAAGTGCACCAAGTCTGATATTGTGATCAACCAGGGGCCCACAGCCCCACTCCCAAGTGGCATACCAACCTACACTGTTGAGATCGTGAACATGTGTGTCACTGGCTGTGACATCTCTGGAATTCACCTATACTGTGGCTGGTTTAGCTCGGCTCGCCTCATCAACCCCAAAATATTCAAGCGCCTTCGCTACAATGACTGCCTTGTGAACGACGGCAAGCCCTTAGTCAATGGTGGAACACTCTCATTTCAATATGCCAATACATTCCTTTACCCTCTTTCAGTCTCCCGTGTGGTCTGTTAGTAATAAGATGAAGACCAAACTATAAACATTGAACAGCTAGCCGTGTTGATATAAAGCCACTTAAAGCAAAACTGGTTAGTTTGAAATACTCGATACCCTCATTCCTGCCCCGTGTTGATATAAAGCCACTTAAAGCAAAACTGGTTAGCTTTTATGTCTTTTCTGGTTTGAGTTCTTCTGAGAGATTGATTGATAGAGGTTTGATGTATACTTCAAAGTGTTTGCCTTGTGAATTTTTCTTGCTATTGCTTTGTGGAGCTAAGGAGGAGAAACTCAAATGATCACTGGTGTGAATGGGTTTTGTTTCAATGATTGATCGACCATGAATTTTGGTTGTGGGTTTTGTAAATAGGCATGTGGTATATGGATTGTAGGTATGAGTAAGAAGCAATATGCTAGAAATGGAACTGTGATTAGAGGATGTTTCTGTATCAAAATCGTTTGATCATGACATTGAAAAGTGAGTATGAATGAATGAGATGCTTCTTCTGATACTCCATTCCTTGTTTTTTTTTTTTTTTTTTTTATATGTCAGAAAGGCCATCTGTGCCAACTTTGCTGGTTATGGCATTTGTTCCCTGGTTCCTACTCTCTATCCTTTTAACGTGATTGTTGGTTGTCATTATTTTATTGAACTAGGGGACAGGGAGACTGCAAAAATCGTCTTAAGCCATCCATGCAACTGGTCAATTCTATGCAGTTTCCTGTGGTTGTCCTTTTTATGTGCAAACAAAAACAACGCAAGATTTCTACAGCTGGTACCTGGTAGTACATTTCTCGTGCATTGAATTGGGTTGATATATTCTTCAGGGTCACAGCAATGAAACACTGAACGCATTCTCAACTATTTCATATTACAGTAACCAAAGCCGTACTTTTGGATAATATAACCAAGTACTCATTCGTTGTTGGAGTGCAAATTTAACAGGTTTTAGTTAGTCAAAAACTGAATGGATATATCCGTTGGACGTTCCATCTTTAAACCTTCTTAACAGTGTAAAACTAGTATCTGTCCTATTATATTGAAACCGATGTTTGAGTCGGTTTCAAACGAGTTGATGTAATAGGTCAGTAACACAGTTGCGTCTAGCAGGAGTAAAAAACATGGCTGCTTATTTTGTGAATGTCAACCTTAGTAATGCTTGGGCAATGGTGATTGAACTCTTCCATGTTTGATCAAGTGTGTTTAATTGTAAGGGAGCAGTTGTACTTGTAACCATTTAACTGCTTTCTTTGATAATAAAATCAATTCCTTAGCTATCTACGGATGGTTCAATTGACAAAATGAGCATGATTGTTTTTTTATCGTTTGGGTTTGAAAATCAATTACTTATTAATTTGAACTTAATTTATTCGTATAACTAGTTTTTTAATCTGTGTCATGCACCATATTTTTTATTATTTTTAATAATTAAAAAAATTTAACTTTAATTTTTTATATTATTTTAATAAAAAATTTGCAAACATCTATTAATTTATTATATATAATCATACATTCAAATGTTAAGGTACAACTAAATAAGAGTTTTATACATATTGTAATACTTTTCCAAAGTCAAAACTTTTGTAAAATTTCAAAGAATTATAAAATTTTTTTCTTTTTCATAAAAACTATTATTTTTAATTCATTTATTAAACAATGAAAATTTTGCTACTCTTTTTTTTTTGTTCGATCAAAAAAACAAAGTTCAGTTTTAAATAATCAAGATTTTTATTATTGGTTTATATAATTTTTTTAATGTTATAAATATTGTTATCTACGCTTTTGGATTCATCACGTGATGTTGGTACAATTTCTTTAGGGTTTATATTCTTTTGTGCTTTATTATACTTTTAATTATGATTTAATATTTATAACCATTTCACTACTTTTAATAAAATTTTACTTTGACTTATTAAAAAGAAAATAGTTAAGATTAATAATTGTTTAGATGTGGATATGAATATATAAAAAATATATCATTTGATTGAATTGTAAAAGACATTTATATTAGTGAAATATTCTTAAATTATTAAATCTTATAAAGCTAAACCAAAAAAAAAAATCAAATAATAATAACAATATATGATTGAACTACAAAACATAATTATTATTTTGCTCATACCCATTTGCTTTTTATTAGTTCTTATTTTTTTACATATATACTTTAACATACATAGTTGTTTTTTTATTAGAACATAAACCAAATATACAAATTGAGAATTATATATAATTTAGATCTCTTGTATTTATACATAGCAAATATCTAGTTTAACTATATATATATATATATATAAACATATGAACTAATTTATTTTAGAATAAATCAAATCTAGATGTATATATCATATAACGCAAATAAAATCAAATAATAAGTTTGAAGAAATAAACAAAAAGAGGAAAATAATAAAAAAATATAATATAAAAAAAAATTAGTGAACTACACTTATTACCTAGTTGAAACCTAGCCAAATATGCGTTCATTTTCCTTTCATTATTGAAATCTAAAAAAAAGTTAATATCATCAAGAAGAAAAACAATTCAACACCATCACAAACTTATTTTTAAAACTAAAATATAAAAATAAAAAATAATAAAGGTATAATATAAATTTATTTATTCATGAGTATGATGTGGTTATTATTTTTTCTAGCTTTTGTCCATTTCTGTCAAAACCCATAAACCATAATTGTCAAATAAAAAAAAGATTAAATTTTTCAATTTTTAATTCTAATAATAACATATAAAATAACATTGGTTAGACGATGATCACTTTATGAGTTATTTACTTTTATTTTGAGATTTTGAATTCAACAAATAAAAATTTATTAAGCTCACACATGCACACATAAATATATATATATAGAGAGAGAGAAAGAGAGAGAGGAGAGAGAGAGTTAAGATTAAATTTAAAAGGATAAAGATAAATTATGATTTAATATATTTAAATTCAAATTTTATGTAAAATTTATAAATTTTTATAGAATTTGATTTGAATTTAAATAGTTACCCAAAAATATTAAATTTATATATTTTATTCAATAAAATTATTTGACACAAGATAAAAGTTTATTAAGCCCATATATATTTGAAATTATGATTAAATTAAAAAAGAAAGGTAATTTATAATTTAATATATTTAAATTTAAAATTTATGTAAAATTTATAATATTTTATATATTTTGATTTGACAAAATATATAAATTGAGAGCATATATATAATTTAAATCTCTTATACTTATGTATAGTAAATATCAAGTTTAACTATATATATATATATATATATAAATAAACGTATGAACCAATTTTGTTTAGAACAAATCAAATCTAAATGTATATATCATATAATGTACATAAAATTAAATAAAATGTTGGAAGAAACAAACAAATAGAAGAAAAAATAAAAAAAAAGAAATAGAATACAAAAAAATAATGAGCTATACCTATTGAAACCAATATAAATGTGTGCTAATTTTCCTTTCATTATTGAAATCTAAAAAAAAAAATCAATATTATAAAAACAAAGAAAAAACAATCCAACACCATCACAAACTTATTTTGAAAACTAAAAAACTTATAATAAAAGGCATAAAATGAATTTACTTATTCATGATAATGATGTGATTATTATTCTCTCTAATTTTTACCAATTCCTGTCAAAACTCATAAACTATAATCGTTAAATGAAAAAAAGATTGTGTTATTTAATTTTTAATTCTAATAATAATGAATAAAATAATGTTGTTTAAAGGACAACACTTTCATTTTATGAGCTCTTTATTTTTATTTTGAGAATTTGATTTTATCAAATAAAAATTTATTAAGTTTACACATACACGTGTAATATATATAAATATATATATGTAAAATTATGATTAAATTTGAAAAGAAAAAATAAATTATGGTTTAATATATTTAAATTCAAAATTTATGTAAAATTTGTAATTTTTTATAAAGTTTGATTTGAAGTTAAATAGTTACCCAAAAATATTTAATTTACGTAATTTATTAAATAAAATTATTTAACAATAAATAAAAATTTATTAAGCCTATATATATTTGGAATTATGATTAAATTAAAAAAGAAAGATAATTTATAATTTAATATATTTGAATTTAAAATTTATGTAAAACTTTTAATATTTTATAGATTTTGATTTGAATTTAAATAATTATCTAAACATATTAAATTTACATAATTATCCAAACATATTAAATTTAAATAATTTATTAAATAGAGTTACTTTATAAATAAAAATAATATAAATATTATCCTACATATCATAAAAAAATATTATCCACACAAGCGTCCATATCAACACTTAACTTTATATCCTATACTATATATATATATATATATATATATATATATATATATTAGATCACCATTGAAAGATGATGTTAAGTAGATTTGAAATTTAAAACCTAATATTTGTATTCTTTTATTTTTTCTCATATTGTAACATTAATTACTTAAAAATATCACTTTTTTTAATACAAAAGTCATAATCTAGATAAGAGATTACAGATATTAAAATTAAATTTCATATTTATTGGATGACACATTTGTTTCAATAAAAATTTTATTTTTAATATATAAAAAACCCATTTTTTACTTCAACATTTTTTCTCACTAGCTAATAAAGTGTCATAAATTGCACTAATATATATATATATATATATATATAGGTCAAGTTTGGTACATAAGATAATAGATAGATGAGATTGAACTTATATGTCTTATTATATATTTAAAAATTATGTAAATAATTTAAATTATATAAATTTTGAGGAATGATAATTTTGATTAATAAATAATTATTTTATCATAATCCTTTCACACATTAAATATAAAATAAGATAATATTATTTATAATATTATCTTATCTTATTATGTTATAATCTTATGTATCAAATAAATCGTATATTATATAAATCACATATAGAAAAAGAGCCAGTGGGCCTGCGTCATTCCTGGACTTGGCTATTGACGGATTGGCGCACCCAATCCATGTTTACGCTGACCCACCCACCACACAGCCCTAGATAAACCCAAAAGTCCAAAGGAGGTGGTGGCTGATCTTGTACAATTTTACCACTTCAGCAATTTTCTTATCTTCTCCTTGAGACGGGCAAGAACATCACAAAGCAACAAACAGCAGCAGAGAGAAAAATAAAGTTAGAGAGCAAAAATGGCGGCTTCAATCAGCGGACTTGGAGTTGGGTTAGGCTTATCTTGTTCTACTAAGCTTTGTAAAGCACTTCCGTCCTCACGATCCTCTGGTTTCCGTGTTAAAATGACTGTATCTGTTGAAGACAAGAAGAAGAGTTATACCCTCCAAAAATCTGAAGAAGCTTTCAATGCTGCCAAGGTGATTCTCAACTCTTCCCCCTTCTTCCCTTTTCTTCTTTATCTGCTTCTTACTGGATAGTTTGAATCCTGCTAAGTTAAGCTTTTTTTTTTTTTTAATTGAATTTTATTGAAATTTAAGTCATTTGTTTGCTTTTGCGATTTGGGTATGTTTTGGAAAGGATGAAATGACTGGAAAATCAACTATGAATTCATTATACTATGTCTGGGCTAAAATGAATTGAGAAGAACTCAATTGGCCATGTTTAATTGGGTTTATTAGCTTCATATTCAGCTTTTTGGTAGGTTTACAATTCAGTATTTTAGTGTCAATAACAAGGTCTTAATACAGTACCTGAAATCAATATGATATATACTAATATTAACAACTTTATAGCTTTCTATTGAGACTATAGTGGCAGGCTGTAAAGGAACTATTTTGCTTTTGACATTTGATTTCTGTTTAGAATTAGGGATGGTTACTCCTTGCTTGTCAGTTGTCACCAAATGGTACTGCAGAAAGTGAGTAAAAATGTATGGAAAACATAAGAAAGGTTTCAAATCATGTTAAGAAAAGGATATAATAGGTATAATGCGAAGTCCGTAGATGAGGCTTATGATGTTAACTTTGTCTTAGACTTGTATATCTAATTAGAAAAATGATATGTGAAGTGTATCATTGATTTTAGTTTTGGACGTATGACTTACAGATTTGTACCTATGGAGATACTTTTTAGTGTTCTATCACTACCTTTCATTTCCTCTTTTATATCTTATTTTGAGTCACTGATTTTTGGAGTCTTTGTCCTCTGACTCTTGCAAGAACTTGTTTTTGGTAGAATTTGATGCCTGGAGGTGTAAATTCTCCTGTCCGTGCCTTTAAATCTGTTGGCGGGCAGCCTATTGTGATTGATTCTGTTAAGGGTTCTCACATGTGGGACATAGACGGGAACGAGTATATTGACTATGTTGGCTCCTGGGGCCCAGCAATAATTGGTCATGCAGATGATGAGGTTGGACGTTTGCTTCTTTCAGTCTGAATTTGCCTTGTAACATATTTATATCTTGTTTGTATTTTACTGTTTTGATGTGCTGAGCATCTTTTATAGTTCCTTCTTTTTTAATCTTGTTTTGATTTTCATTTAACTGCGATAAGTTAAATGTTCTTGAAATTTTTTCATACTAATTTTGTTTGGCTATGATTTTTGATGCTCTCATATGCATACGTAATTTTGAATTCCATTTTGTTATATGGATGCATCAGCATCTCAATTAAGAGTTAGTAGTGGGTCATTAGTAAAGAGAAGAGACTTATAATTGCTAAAATTTGCTTCCGATTTGCTAACAATTCTCCACTGACTTGAATATATCTGCAGGTGCTTGCGGCCCTGGCTGAAACTATGAAGAAAGGAACCAGCTTTGGCGCTCCTTGTCTTCTTGAGAATGTTTTGGCAGAGATGGTAATCTCAGCTGTTCCTAGCATTGAAATGGTTCGATTTGTAAACTCTGGTACAGAAGCATGCATGGGTGTGCTCCGCCTTGCCCGTGCCTTTACTGGCCGAGAAAAGATCATCAAATTTGAGGGTTGTTACCATGGCCATGCTGATCCCTTTCTTGTTAAGGCAGGTAGTGGAGTTGCTACTCTAGGGTTGCCTGACTCTCCTGGTGTTCCCAGAGGAGCCACTTTTGAAACTCTAACTGCCCCTTTCAATGACATATCAGCTGTAGAAAATCTCTTTAACAGTAACAAGGGAGAACTTGCAGCAATTATTCTTGAACCTGTTGTTGGGAATTCTGGCTTCATTCCACCTAAGTCTGACTTCCTTGAAGCTATACGTCGCGTAACCAAGGAAAATGGTGCTCTCCTCATCTTTGATGAAGTGATGACTGGATTTCGCTTGTCTTATGGCGGGGCTCAGGAATATTTTGGCATAACTCCTGATTTAACAACGCTAGGGAAGATAATTGGTGGTGGTCTGCCTGTTGGTGCATATGGAGGAAGGAGGGAGATTATGGAGATGGTGGCACCAGCAGGGCCAATGTACCAGGCTGGGACCTTGAGTGGGAACCCGTTGGCAATGACAGCTGGGATACAGACCCTTAAGCGGTTGAAGGAGCCAGGAACATACGAATACTTAGATAAAATCACAGGAGAACTTGTTCAAGGCATTCTAGATGCTGGAAAGAAGACAGGACATGCAATTTGTGGAGGGTATATTAGTGGGATGTTTGGATTTTTCTTCACAGAAGGGCCTGTTAACAACTTTGATGAAGCAAAGAAGAGTGATACAGCAAAATTTGCCAGGTTTTACCGGGGTATGCTGGAGGAAGGTGTATATTTTGCACCTTCACAGTTTGAAGCTGGATTTACAAGCTTGGCACATTCTTCTGAAGACATCCAAAAGACAATTGCAGCAGCTGAGAAAGTTCTTAGCAAAATTTAAGGTGTCCATAGCAGTAGCTTTGATTACCAGTGTTGTGATCCTGTTCTCCGTCCTACCCTTTTGTTCTCCCTTTTTTCGTGCATAATTGACCATTTTGGTAGCGAATTAATGGTTCTTTTATTATCAGTTTTTTTAGACAGATTTTTAGTCATTTATTGTCGCTCACAATCTGTATTTGTTACCAATAAAGCTTTTGTATCTTGGCAATATATGAGATAATTATCGGCTTTTAAAGCTTGTTTACAACCTTAGCTGTGATTTCTTTTCACCCAAAATTTTTTTTGACCATATACTTTGAATCTTGCTTGGATTTACTCGTAAAATTACAATGTATGATAAGTTTAAATCCTTCATCACCTGCACGAGAAGGCCTTTTCTTCCATAGCAGGCGCATCAGAAATATTTCATTATTAGTAACAGATAGCATCATATAAACGCATTTCTCCTTACAATTTGGTGTACATTTCGTCTTTACATGGAGTAGTCTATACAAGTTTACAAATGATTCAAGCTAGTACTTGGAAACAACCAAAAGGTTAGAACCCAAGTTCCTAAAATTATTTTGGTTTTACTTTGTGCAGAGTTTTATGGTAGAAACAAAGACTTAAGGAACCAAAGAAGAGAAAAATGCACATCATCATCACTCCATTAAGAACTTGAACACATGGACTTTGTGACGAACACACACGGGATACTCGGAGACAATGTTTACATTCCTAAACATTGTTACCAGCATAAACAATTTTCGAACTCTACATGTTTTCCTTCATAAAATGGAACACGAGCATACAATCTTTCTGGGTGAATCCTCAATCTTCTTTTCTGTTCAGACAGAAAGCCCAGCACAAGTCAATATATGATATTTTAAGTAATTGCAGAAGCAGCCCCTCTATGTTATTTAGATGGCCACCACTTAGATAAAGTTCCTCTTAATACTCTAAGAAAAGGTACACTATTATTATCGTACACTGTCACGTACTCAGATTATTGACCTTAAAGACGAAATGCAATCACATGGTTAATAGCTTCTGGAATTTAATGGATCTCATCACTGTGTGAAAAAATGTAGAAAGATGTAAAAATGGCTAGGAGAATCCCTTAGCAATGAATAAAGGAAAGGGAAAAGATGGCCTCTCGTAGGTTCACCATAATCGAGCAGTGTGCTCATCAATGATCAGTGATGAAGCTTAAACAACAGTCAACAGTTCTCCCTTCCACCTTTTTCTTCCAAAATGCACATACACAATGAGTCCACCAAAACACTGGTTATCGGAAATAAGCAATTCAAAATTTCGGCTTTTAGCTATCAGTACTAGTACAAGTGCAGATCCATGTCAAACAGCTGGACATCCCAATGTCCACTTTAGTGAGCAAGCTAAAGCTTAAATGCCAAATAAAAAAGAAGCCTTGAAATTGGAAAAGAATAATTCTTCATGAAGATAAAGAGAGAGAATACCTGTTTTAGTTTTTGAAAGAGATGGCTGTACTACAACATGCATTATGATAACCCCACCTGCAACTTCACCAAAGGGTACCTTACACTGACCAACCGTCTTGTTGTTCTCCAAAATTTTACCATAACTTACCAGTTTGACTTCATTCACTGCCTTTGGAATAATTGTCTTACCTAAGGAAGGGCAGAAACAGCATTTAAGAAAATTAAAACAAAATGCTTCAAACTATTATCCTTTAATCAGCCACAAAAAAGAAAAAAAAACTATTAGTCTCTATGCTTCCTTCTGGGTCTTATGATAAAAAACTATTAGCATTTAAGATTGTTGATAGACGTAGGCAGCAAGAAAATGAGCAAAACTTGATGCATTCTTTTTGCAATCCATTTCATCAATGAAACATTGCAATGACAATCTAATAATTCACGAGAATAACAATATAGACAGAACATCTTTACACAGCCAAATTTAGCCTTCTCTCATGGTATACATTCATAAGAACATCCTGCAATTCTTATTAATCATTGTCACATCGATTATCCACCAAATGCATCAATGATGTAAGTACAACAATATAGAAAGAGCCATATGATTTGTTAGTATAGCGCTGAAATCTTAATTCCAGTAATCAGGAATCAATTCGTGACAATCTCAAGTACCCAAAAAAAAAAAAAAAAAAAAAACGAAGAAAAGGCATCTCCTCCCTTTTTTAGGCCATCAGCAGCCATTTTATGAAGCTAAAAACACCATTTTAGTGGTGAAAAGGTTAGAACCCTAAAATTATCTACCTCTGCTATTACGTTGTGTTATACAATAATCATTGCTTTTGCATTCTATGACAGAACCCCTACATCTTTTTTCATTTGTCTTCACAATAATTAGGTTCAAAATCCAAAGAGGATTACTCAGTGCCACTGGTGGTGGTGGATGAGATAATTCACCCAGAAATCTCACAACAATGTAAGTTTTAATTACTAACCAAAACCCAACAGCAAAAACTTCATAAGCAATTAGAAACGAAATGAAACGAAAAAGAGTAAACCTTTGGGCCAATCAGAGATAATTCTTTGCTTAAGCATATCCACCGTGGATGTGGCGGAGTACCGAAACGGCCCGATATCCGACCCGTCATAAAGCCTGAACTTTATATCCACCAAATCCTCCTCCGGCATTTCCGCTCAATTCCACTCCTCCTACCCACCAACCACCAGCAATTCTTCCACAAATCGACTCACCAGTCACTACCGTCGGTTCATCAAATCAAATCCCGCCGCCTAAATTTCCAGAAATTAAAACCACACTGAAAACTCAACTAAAATTAAAATTTAAATATCAAAAATGAAATTTCAAACCTGAATTTTGTTGTAGTAGCTGATTAATTTGAAGCTCCCTCTTGAAATTTTTAGTTTATTTTATGGCTCTTTTTGAAACATTGCTGTTTGGTGAACTAAAGAAGACAAATGAGTCTAGCCATCTTCCAAAATCCCCAACTGCTCTACCAAAACGAGGTCGTTTGAATTGCGGTTTCGTTGCGAAAGCGGTAGAAACGTCGTTGTCGTGATTGGTTTGGTACGCCGTCGTTTTTGAGTTCCTTTCCCCCTCATTTTGTCTACTTCTCGAGCGTAGATGATTCAAAAAAAATCCAGCCGAAAAACGAAAAGAAATTATGAAAAGAAACGGCGACGAAGAAGAATAAGAAGAGGAAAAGAAAAGCAAAAAGAAAATGGAGATTGCTTGGCAAACTCCAGCTCATCCTGCTCAGAAACAAGATTATATTTTCACAACGGTAAATTCAATTTTCAAAGAAAAAATCATTTCCTTTTGTAATCAGATAAAAACAAAAAGCTCAACTTTTTGGCGGGAATTTTACAGGGAAGCGCCACGTGAGACCGTACTACTTCGAGTTCGTCTCTCATGTTAGTTTCTTTCTTTCTTTTTTTATTTATTTCTGATTTCAGTTGTTAAAAATGCTTTTAAACCCTAACTCTGATTATTTACTCAAAAGGTACGATTTTTATGATTGATTTTGCACAGGTTAATAAGCGATGGAGGGTAAAACAATCGTGGATTTGTTCGCTCAAGAGTTCAGAGGCCGATCTAGAGATTACTATGTAATTCATTACTCTTTCCATACTCTTTTCTTGTTCTTGAATCTTTTACTGATATAATAGCCGCAATTTTGTTAGTTAATTTGTACTAATTAATTGAATTTGTGATTGAAATTTTCTTGCAATTGCTTCCTTTACCTATAGCTTTGCATATCTTTGAATATTTACCTTCTCTGTTATTTTGGAAATGTTGTAGGTTCGTGCTGTCAAATGTGGACGTATACAAGTGGATGGAGAGAATATACATGTTTCATACATAGTTAAACGAAGCCAGAAGATAAGCCACTTCCTTCACAGGTTCCTCACATTAGCATTCGATCATAATCTCATGGAATTTCACTTAATCTTTAGAAGAAAATGCGTTTTTTTGGAATGGTATTGGGATTTAGAGTTATTTTTGGTTCATACATACATACATTTGTTCAAATTTATTTTGACTTCTCTATGGTTTTTGTTTGCTCTGTTCAAGTTAAGTTTTCTTCATTCTTCGTGATTTCATTTTGAAGTTTTAAAACTTGTAATTGATGCTGCCAAGGTTGTAGGCATGAACCACCAGTGATGGCCTGGGATGTTGAAAATCTTCAAAATGAACCTGATGTACTGACAGTTTGCAAACCAGCATCTGTTCCTGTAAGTCTTTGGTGAAGTATACTTCCTTCAACTTTATGAGTCTGTATGGTTGTTGGGGTGTCTAAACAATGTGCTTATTCATTGGCTGAGGAGAGTGCGGAGTTTTCTCCAGTCTTACAATCTGATGTCAGTGACTGTGTCCTTTCTAACTTATGTTGGAGTTAAATTCATTGGCTAAATTTTTGTAGGTGCATCCATGTGGTCAATATCGTAAAAACACGGTTTTGGGTATTCTCCAAGCAGAGCATGGATTGGCTCCTTTGTATAGTATCCAAATTGAGCTCCATATGGAGCAAATATTTAACTGTACATGAAGGCTACTTTTATACTTACTATATGCAACTAAATCTGCTTGAAGTTTTTTGTTTGGTTGAGTTCTGAAAGCGGGGTTTTCTTCTTTTTCCTTGACGGCATCATGTCAACCATTCCTTAACTAGATCGTCTGGTCTCGGGACTGCTCATCATTGCCAAAAATCCAGCTAAAGCTGACATTTTTAGGCAACATGTAAGTCTTCTGCGATCTTTATTTATTTATTTATTTTTTAATTTTAACATAGCTTGAGCAAAAGAGAAATAAAAATAGAAAAATTTTTTTTGGCAGTTTGCTTAAAGCTTTAACTTGCTGTTACAACTATGTCTGTAATATGGAATCACCTATGACTGACATAAATTTCAATTAGATATGGCTACCTAAATTCGATTTAGCAACATGGCTACATGTTGTGTTGTATTGCATGATTTGGTAGAATGATATCTTGGACACTAGCTGTTCTGTCCAACGAAGATAAAAATTGCATTGTTTTATCAATATGCTTTATATGGAAATTTAAAGACTTTTAACCTAGCAAATCAGTATGATTCTCTGTGTATATTTTTGGGTTTTGTAAACTAAACATATTTCTTTATTTGAATTTGAATGTGATGGTTGCTGGTGCAGAAACAGTATGTTGCAAAGGTTGTTGGAGTATTTCCAGAGGATGAGGTATATGATCTTGTTTTAGCTAGATGATTCTTGTAATTTGTATTCAAATTTCAATTATTCTGCTTGTTCAAAGTTGTTCAAGTTCATAGATACTCTATATGAGCTTTTTATTTTTGGCTAAATTCCACATACACCTCTTGTGGTATTACCCTTTCTCACATAACACGCTTGTGGTTTTTTTTTCGCACTTAACACCTTATGGGAACAGAATAAAACCTCAGGGTGTTAAGTGGTAAAAAAACAAGGTTGTTATGTGAGAAAGGTTTATATCATAAAGGGTGTAGGAGTTTACCTTTTATTTTTCGTTACCTTGGAAAATCTCCAATCATGTTTGACCTTTTCTTTTTCTTTTGTTTTTAACATAACAAAAACTGACAAGGAATAGCTTGATAATATAAATATCGTTATTATGAGAATATAGTTTCACATTGGTCTTCTTTAAGGCTTGGATTGCCATCTATGGAATTTCAGTATTTCGTAGAAGCATCATCTGGTTTTTCTTACTTTTTCAATTTCAGAATGGTTGGAACTTGTTCAAGGAAAAAAAAAAAAAAGACGAATGCACCTTGGTGTGTATGCGCTTTCTGCAGTGAGCCGTCTACAATATTAGTGTTCTGGATCTTCTTCTAAACCCCCTCCACTCCTTTTCTTCAAAAAAAAAAAATTATGTTGAGTTATCGGAAACTTTTCACACCCTAATTTTCCCATTTGATGTCAATATGATTTTCTTTCTCAGCAAGTTGCTGATGCCAACATAGACTGCAATGCTAGAGAGGGAAGGAGCGCTGCAGAGGTAAGTGCATTTCTTCTACGCCTACTTATCGGATTATAGTTCTGTGTGTTTCTTTTACTCCTACTTATATGATTATAGTTGATGTAAACCATGTGTGAGAAGAGGAAGACAAAAGAGAAAATGAGATCAGTTGTGTTATGAACGTGCACTTGTATATTAACTGCAAGCTGATAACATTGCACCTTACTCCTTCCTCTTGCTACTGATGAATTTGCATGTAAGACATTCGTGGACCAGAAAGATGCAAAATGTCTGGTTCCTTGGTACATGTTCAAAACTAAATGTGGCCCATTTTAGTGATTTTCGTTTAATGGCACACAACTTTGTTGTAAGTTTATTTGTTTTAATATTCAGTTCAATTCAATTATATTGGTGTTTCTCATTATTGTTAATCAAATTAAATATCTATGTTTTTCTACTAGTCATATTGGTTTGAACCACTGGGTAAGGCTGTATGTGATCCATAAATCTTTGAACTGCTAGTTATGCAGGGACTTTTCCTTCTCTAAGTTTAAAAGATTCATGAGGTTTCTGAGGATGTTTCTTATCCATTAGTTAATGATCTGATCAGAGATTTATCCAATTAGAAGAAAGTGGTAAGTATGCTGAATCATAGAGCATCTTCCTTTTTATGCAGGTTGGCGTCTCAAATGGTGATACTACCTTGAAGGGAAAGGTTGCTTTTACAAAGTTTACTAGGATTAGTACCAATGGGACTCATAGCATTGTCTTGTGTGAAACAATTACTGGCCGAACTTATCAAGTAAGCTAATCCACAGTGAATATAAAGTAATTTTTTTAACACCAGTAAGGGAGATGTTTGTAGTTATTTTAGTGGACATGGGATGCTTGTGGATATCTCTTTGTGCACAAATTGATACTTCTGGGTCACTTTTAAAATTATGTTGCATGCAGTTATTTTCTGTTTCATCATTTTGGCATTCTCAATCCACTCTTAAAGTTTAAACTTTTTTCTACATTTTTTTTTTGTCTTGGAAGGGCTCTTACATTTGGATCTTTGACCATTTACAAATTGTTGGTATTTGTCAGTGCTATGATGAACTTATTTTGCATTTTTGTCTTCTTCTGGACAAGTAATACATATACTTCCTATTGTTAAGGTTTTGTTAGTAACTATACTAGATTCCTGCATATTTTTCTAATTTATAGTTTTCCATTTGTCATTTCCAATAACTGCATATTTTTCTGACACTAAATTTTCTCATTCGTAGATACGTGTTCATTTGCAGTGTACAGGCCATACAATAGCCAATGACATGCTTTACCTTTCAGACAATGTTGTTGATCGCTCTACCTTTGGAACTACTGCTGATAGAGCTGCAGCTCTTTCTGGCATCTCTCCAGCAACCAATTGTGAGAATCGTAATGAAGAATACAAGTATTGTAGTGAAGATTTCAGCATTGATCCTATGTGTACACACTGTCCTAATTTAGCTCCAACTGGGTAAGACACTTTTTACTTGTGATTATTTGTGTTCAATATAATTATTTCGTTCTCTCATTCCATTCTCTCTCATAACAACTACATCTATGCTCGTCAATAATCCGTTATGATTTTTACTGTATATGGCAGTTTTACCTTAGTCATTTTGAAAAATTGGTTACAAGTATTCCGACATTTTCTGCTTCACACTGGTTTTTTCATCCTTGCCATGATGACATCATAGGACTCCATAAAATTTCTCTGCTATCATTGGGTGAAGTACAAAGTGTAAATACAGAAAATGATGTGCTGTCTTACAAAGAATATGCCGTATGGCCTGTACCTGTGTCAAAAAATTTTATTCTTCGGAGCACCTCTTGTTCTTTTTGACTATCACTGGCAAGATATCCATGTACCATGCGTGGAAAATTCAACATCGACAATTATTCATTCTTACAATTACTTGATATTTGGTAATTGTAAATTACATTGTCCATAAAATTTTGTATA